GCTCTCTCCCACTACAGTGTCTTTGCACACAGTGTTCCTCCCTTCTTCATCTGAGTAACTCTTTTCCCTTTCTCTGGTAAACTTTCTTTCCTTGAGCCTCCTGGCTGGGTCATTCTTTGATATGTCTTTTACAACTTTACATTTATTTGTGAGATTAACTGATCAAATTAATAGGCCTTTCCTAACAGGCCAAGGACCAAGAACCACTTGCTTACTACAAAATATACGCTAAATAAATAAGAGCTAATGTATATATATAACACATAATATGCCAGCAGTGATCCTAGGACTTATCAACCCACTAAGACTTCCCAAAAGCGCTATGAAGCAGGTACAATTATTAGCCCCATTTTACATATAAACAAAGTAAATCACACAAGCTAAGAAGTGGCAGAGTTGATTCATGAACTCAGGCAGTCAGTTTCTGGAGTCTGAGTGCTAAGTGCCTCCGTAAATCTGCTGAATGCATGACAGTGTTGAGTGCTTTTGACAGGAACTACACAGCACCTATCTTAGTTCAACCAAAAAAATCAGTTGGTTATATTAAGGGTCTTACGTTTGACTGGAACTTTGCTACAAAACATCTATCTTCTTAGCATTTTATTCCAGCTACTTGAAAATCCATTTGCCCTCACTGGTAGTATCATGAATCATGACTGATGCTGAGCAGAGGTGCAAACTGGTAAAAGGGTAGGAAAAAGTTGGCTTGGAGTGGAACAGAACTGTGGGTCATTTGTAATATGGGTAATCCTCATAAAGACAATTCAAAGGTTTTCATAGACGTCATCTCACTTAACCTTCATTGATTCCTAATAAAGTTACACACACTGGGCAGTTCTGCATCAGCTGATAGATGAAGCAAAAGGCTGAGATTAGGACTGCTAAATCATCAGAAATTAACTAGTCACAGGATGGGTAAGGAAGGTGTCCCCATACTTCCAGTTTTAGAAATGCGTTATTTCTGGCAGAGAAAGACCTCTTCTCCCTTCTTAAGGGTTAAAGGTAGCTAGCTAATCTTTCCTGATTCTTTCTTGGCTGCCCTGCACCGCCTGTGGAGTGTCCAGTTCTCCCAACCAGGGACTGATCCCAGGCCGTGGCAGTGAAAGCACTGAATTCTAACTGCTGGGCTAGCAGAAAACGTCCTAACTCTTGGTTGGAACTTCTCAGCAAGGACGGAGTTGCTCTTAGGTTTTCCCAGTATGGCTACAGTAGGGGAAATTATCCCACAGGCTCAAGTTATACGGTAAAGAGCTCTATAAGCTAGCTACATCCAATTAACCCTAGGCCAAAATGGTACAAATGTAACAATTCAGGAAATTCTTCACCCAGAGCCTCTATACCAATGTAAAGGAAGTCAAGAAACTGTACGCACCTTTTCTTTATGTGCATTTTGCTAAGGAAAAGTTTTCATTAGTCTCTTTCAGGGCTGTAACTAAAAAAGGCTAAGAACTTTATGCCTGTATACACATTCATTCTGGTTCACGGAACCAGAACTTTACAAGAGGAGCACCTTCGCAGGATGAAAACATTTCTATTCCTTCAAGTACCTGATAGCTATGGATGTGGGTCTAGGAGGAATCCCAATATCCAACCCACGTTAAGTTTAACCTTGTAACAGCACAGGCCTCAATCTAGAAATAGGTCTAAAGGTACTGCATTAGCATTCATCTCCTTGGAGTAGCCTGTTAAGGATAAGGACAATGAGGAGTGCTCGAATCCAGTCCCAATCAGGCCACTAATCGGCTGAGTAACCTTGGACAAGTTGCATACCCTCTCTGGGCTTCAGTTTCCACATCAGCAAATTGGAAGTTGAACAGTACGGTCTTCAAGGTCCTTCGCAGCAGAGAGCCTGGTACCAAGCAGGCCTAGCCATTAAATCAGCTTCCTGTGGGCGCGGTGCAGGGCTTTAACGGTCCCCCCCTCCCCCGCTCGAGCCCGCGAAACCCTCAGCACGCCCCTCGGAGTGACGCCGCTTTCTCAACCGCAGCCTGGACACGGCTCCGCCTCTTCCCGGGGGCGTCCCGTCGTGCCCCGCGCCAGGCTTCTAAAGCTGTGGGTCGACTCCCGCCTTTCCGCGGCCCCGACCCCGAACTCCTCTCCCCAGTTTTCTCGGGTGCCCTATCCTATCAACGTCTAGTATCCCAGCCAATCACGCGGGTCCGGAGTCTTACCTTCGGTCCACCCTCCTCCCAGCGCCCAGCCGGCCCGAGCTCAAGGCCTTTAGCAGGCCAATCCAATCAGTGGCCGGCTCTGGCCGGCCTCACCCCAATGTCCCTCCTCTCGGCCAATCCGCGCGCCCCATTCTGCTGCCCGCCCAGCCAACCCCGGGCCTTGAAACCAGTGGGCAAATGGGCGCAGGGCGGCCCTTCAACGCTGACCGCCTGGCCAATTGGGGATTCCGCGTGGCCCCGGCGGCAACCAATCGACATGGAGCGCGGTGCCGCCGCGGAGAGGTCCGGCCGAATATCCCTCCGCCTTCCTCCCTCCCTCTCTCTCCCTCCCTGCGAGCCGCCGTTCACTTACTGCCTCCCTTCCCTTCTTTCTCCCTCCGCCACCCGAGCACCAGCCGCGCTCTGAGCTGCCCCCGGGGTCCCTCCCCCGCCGTCAGAGGAGCAGCTGCCGCCGCCGCCAGCAGCAAATTAGGAAGAGGGAGGAAGGAAGGAAAGGAGGAAGGAAGGGGAGCTGGAGCGACTACCAAGAGGGAACCGGTGAATGGGCTTGTGGTGACCCCCGCCCCCCACCCCACCCTCCCTTCCCACCCGACCCCGAACCCCCATCCCCAGTTAAGAGCCGCCGCCCGAGAGGCCGGGCCGTCGTCTTAGGAGGAGTCGCCGCCGCCACAACCTTCGCCATGGAGCTGATCACCATCCTCGAGAAGACCGTGTCTCCCGGTAGGACGCGGGGGCCGGGGGTCGGGCTGAGGTGATTGGGTGGGGGGAGGGGAAACCCTGGCCCCTCTGACCCTGGCCCCTTTCCCACTTTCCTTCCCCCACCCGTCCCCCTCCCCCCCCGGTCCAACCTAACCCCGCCATCGGGAAGCCGGTGGGTGTGTCCCGCCCCGGGCCCCGGCAGCTAGCCAATGGCGCGGCGCGCCGGGGTGACTGCCGCCCAATCGGCGCGCGGCCTGAGGGCGGCGGTGCAGCAGGAGGGAGAAAGAGGGAGGGAGGGGAAGTTAGGTTGCACCGCGCTGCGTGTTCAGCAAGGGTGGGGGTGGGGGAGCCGGGCCTAGGGGCCATGTGGAAGCTCGGAGCCCCGCAGCCCGCCCAGTTCGGATCGGGACCGGCTTCTTCTTCCTGTCCCTTGGCCCCTATGATTTTCCACGTACTTGCAGAGCTCTACCCTTTCCAATCTCCCTTGATCTATGTTCATGGCCAGGCCTGCACCTGAATGCCTCTTAACCCATTCCGGCAATGTTTCTCCCTTTTCTTGACTGGTTATTCCTCTCCCAGGTCCCCCCTCCCCCTCAATCACTAGAGACTAAATCTGCACCCAGATAACAGGCTGAGGCTCATTCTTGAGATCGGGCCTGTTTCCAGAGGAAATCACAGAGGAAAGTTCCTCGTTTGTCATATTTTCGAATTTAAGGGGTACAGGGAAAAATGAATGTTAAGTCCACTAGAGACTGGACCTCTGTGTAAGAATTGTTAGATGGATTGGTTGAAACAGCCTGTGTGCCAGTGATGTTTCTCTGTATTCCCTCCTGTTGGGGGGGATGGGGAGCAGAGAGAAGGCTCAATGATACTAGACGTGGTTTTTTTTTAAGGTAAATAACACTGTAACCAGATGTGTTCTTTTGTGTTATCTATGCAAAATAGCACAAGCAAAAACAGTGACAAGGAGTATTTTTATTTTATACAAGTTAGGTTTTTTTGTGTGTTTTGTGGGTTCCCCCCCTTCCATGTGCTAGTTTTTGCTGCTAATCTTTTTATCGTTAACTTTCCATAGAAAAGATTTTTTTTCCACTAGTTTGGAACTTTTGGTATATATATTTCTGTTTTCTGGTTTTGTTAAATTTGCAAGAAGCCGTTTCTTATACCTAACATTTATTTTGTCTTGTTCCCAACGTTCCTAACATTCTTTAGTGGTACATAATTAATAAAAGTTTTAAGAATTATCTTCTACTGTGATTAAGGGTGAGAAGCTGTCTGCTTTTGGGTTTTCCTGTTAACTTTTCCATTGGAGAGAGTTTGTTTGTTTTTGTTTGTTTTTTTTTGGAGAGAGTTTTTTGTGGAGAAGAGTAATGTGTGTTAAGATATTTAAACCAAAGGAGTAGTTTTGGCGGACCTCTGCATTACAAAAGGTCGAGTGGATTAAAAAATCCAATGTGTTTAAACAACTCAAGACCAAAATGAATAGGAACCTTTAGTGTGGTAACCATAAAGTCATTTTCCTTGACATTTTTATCCTTTCAGTTGCCCCCATTTTTAAATATTTGTTATTGCTTTTTCCTTATATATATGTTTTACATTGTTACTCTCTTGCTGAAGCACTTAAAACTAAAGATCAGCCTCCTAAGTCTGTTTTAGGTTTATAAGTACTTCCCTCTCTTATGCATGCTTTCATAAGATCAAAAGCTACCCTTGAATATCATGTTTTTGGACTAAGATTTTTTAAAATCTAAATTAAACAATTTTACTTTCTACCCTGTCATAACATATTCAGTTAATAAGTATAATTTACTGAGGTACCAGATAGTATTGTAGGCATGTAGAAGAATCCTCTGACTACCAGTTTGTCAAACTTGCTTTAATTCTGGGGAATCTAATGTGAAGATTTGGGCACTAAGCTGTAACTCCTTGTTAAATGCTGAGTCTGTGTGAGAAGATGGATGACTTCCTTATGTACCAAGTAACATTTTTATAGGAATCTTGAAGTAAATATTGGCATTTTCTGAGACATTGTGTTATGTCCTAGTATTTTTAGGTTTTCCCCAGTTTTTTGGTGCTAGTCTCGATTGGTGAAATTCCTAAGAGATATTTTTATTCACATCTCTTAACAGCCCACTTTCCTTGTGGAACTGTCCAGAGTGCTGGCAAATCCAGGAAACAGTCAAGTTGCCAGAGTTGCAGCTGGTCTACAGATCAAGAACTCTTTGACGTCTAAAGATCCAGATATCAAGGCACAGTATCAGCAGAGGTGGCTAGCTATTGATGCTAATGCTCGACGAGAAGTCAAGAATTATGTAAGTAATTTGGTCATACTAGCCTTTGGTCATACTAGCCTAGGGAATGTCGGTTTTTTTGTCATAAATTTGAAGATTTTGAAAGTTGTATTTAAATCTTTCTCATAGTCTTTTTTTCAAGTGATTCTTCCTTAGTTAACTAGCATGGAGCTTTTCTTGAACATCTGCTGTAGATAATTCTCAATGTTTGGTGGGTTAGGCATGGTGCTGTGTGGTCAGGAAGGGAATTAAATGATCTCTTGGGCCTTTCAAGCCCAAAGAGTTTATGAAATAAGATTATGACTTTAATCTTGTTTTTATCTACTTAGCAAATTATGAGAAATTTTTAGAAATATCTGGCTTTTTGTCAGTGTTTAAAAGAGTTAGCAGATGGATTTTTTTTTTTTTTTTTTTTTTGAGGAAAATTGAATGTCCCTTGTCGCTGTGCATTATGGGGTTCTTGTGAGTTTCTTGTTGAATTAGAAATTCATAATTCTTGCCACAGCAGAGTATCAGAATATATGTGTATATATACACTCTTTTTAAAAATTAGATTCTTTAGTGGCCTGTCTTACATGAATAAGGTGCAGAGAGTAGTAAGTCAAGAAACTGTAGTCACATGGGCCCTGCTATTTGAGGGGAAGCCATTGGGAGGATTCCTGCGTCTGTACTTGTGCTGGTCATGGTTCTGCATATCATATTTTCTGTTTCCTGGTTCTGGGTGTCAGCATTAGGTAAATTAGTGCCCTTTGCAGCAGTAACTTTTGTTTCTAATTATGTACCTCTTTTTCCAGTCTTGCATGGAGGAACTGATGACAGAAAACTGGGTTACAAAAGTCAACTTACTTTGAATCTTCTTTGGAATATATAGAGCTATTTCTATCCACTTGAGTTTGCTTATATAACATTTTAATCCTCTTCTCAATAATTTGATATAAATGAAGTTTATGCCATTAATGACTGGAAATCTTGATATTTACTGTACTCATTCAATTTCTCATTTTCCTCAAATTACACAGTAGTAAATGGGAGAAGACATGATCAGAACTGTAATTGGGGGTGAGGCACATCTATCTTAGCCCCAGAATTTTTTAAAAATTTTGAGTAGGAATTTTTATCAGCATTATTGAGCTTTTGTGCACAAAAGGTAATAGCAGTTATTTAGGGCTTTTTCCCTTTTCATAGCACATCTGGTGATACTCTCTCAGTGCTGGTGGTTATTTCTTTTTTTGAAATCTGGGTCTTGGACAGAGTTGAGAGCTAATTTCTTACTTTTATTTCTGATATTTGAATATTACCTTTAGGGTCACCCTTGGTTAAAAAAAAATAACTTGTAGTACTCAAGAGTTAGACATTTAGTTTCTAAATCACCTGAGGTAATATTAATGGTCTTCTAGAAGCAACTTAAAGGAGAAAAGATAAACATAGAGACTGGGATTCAGTATGCATTCCATATGTACTTGGAGATGGTGCAATACAATGTGAAGGCACCTTATGATTTCTTAGTCTGACTTGGATTACTACCTGTTCACCCCTTGCCCTTTTGGACAGTTCATCTCATCCCTGCTCCCCGCCCATGTCTTTGACACACAGATTTTGTTAAAGTCCAGTCTAGCTCTGGTAGGCCTAGAGAGCAAAACCTTCATTTAGAATCAGTCAGATGTTACTGAGCTGATGATATACCATATAAGGGGAAAGATAGGAGGGAGTTCATTATTATTAGCTACAAAGCAGGATACTAAGTGACCTGACCCAGTCAGCAGAGCTGGCCTGAATGTCTGGCAGCTACTCTTTGTCCTGTGTTCATGCCAGGAACAGTTAACTGTTGGCCTTTTTGAGTGGACTGGTGAGTCTTAGTTCATTGACTGAATTAGCTGATCATGGTAATGATTAACTCTGGGTCATTGTAGCTTCATTCTTTGTCTATACTTGTGCCTTTGCTACTTACCTTGTGTTGAAAATTGAGGTGAGGTGTCTGGCTTTGGAGATTCTATTTAGAAATAGGGGGTGATTGGTTTCATTTCTAGGCTCTGGGGCAATGCTGATCATGCTGCTCTTGGTATTGAGGCCAGCTTTATTCCCAACAGTTGGCCTATGCTGTATATGCCTTTTCCTACTTTTCTGTATTAAAGATAATTCAGAGACTGATATAAGATGTGTGCTGGTAGGCACAATGTGTTCAAATAGTATTAGAAATTTCTTTTGTCTTTGTGTGTGTGTGCCCCCGCACAGGTTTTGCAGACTTTGGGCACAGAAACTTACCGGCCTAGCTCTGCCTCGCAGTGTGTGGCTGGTATTGCTTGTGCAGAGATCCCAGTGAACCAGTGGCCAGAACTCATTCCTCAGCTGGTGGCCAATGTCACAAACCCCAACAGCACAGAGCACATGAAAGAGTCGACATTGGAAGCTATTGGTTACATTTGCCAAGATATAGTAAGTACCGTATCCAACTTATATACCACTGATTCCCTCTAGTTGTAACATGCAAGGTATTAGAATTATTCTTTATCATCATGAAAAAAAAAACCAAGCTATTGCAATGTGTTTTGAAAGTAGGGCTGCTTTATTTGTTAGACTTCTATATTTGGATAGTTAATTTATCTTCATATTGCTAATCATGCCCTAAAGAAAGAGACTTTTAAGGGTCACAAACTCAAGATGAAAATCCCTGTTTGGAGAGGCGTAGATTCTGCCTCCTCTCTTTGACCTAATCCCTTTTTGAAGATCCTCAATGTCCAGGGATGCTGTGTTACTTTTTCGATGACTATTTTACAGAAACAGTTTGCCAACTTTTGAGCTGTGGTTGGTTTAACTACTGGAGCCACGACACAGTATGTTAAATGTAGCACTTCTAGGACTCTTGCTGCTGAGATTACCACTCTTGGTATCAGTTTTTTTTTTTCCTATTTTCTCAGATTTTATTTGATTTAGATGCTAAGTCGTGTCTGACTCTTGTGACCGTATGGGCTGTAGCCTGCCAGGCTCCTCTGTCCATGGGATTCTCCAGGCAGGAATACTGGAGTGGGTTGCCATTTCCTTCTCCATTGGTATCAGTTTTGATACACAGATTTGATGAAGCAAAGGAGTCCATAGCGCCTGACTCCATAGGTGTGCCAGGTGTTGATCCTTGGTCCTCAGATGTTCTGAAGCTTTACTTCAGTTGGTACAGATGGCCTGGAAGAAACACCACACTGCCATCTCCATGTGCCCAGAATGGTGAGGTGGGGGAAGCCAGCATTGCCTCATGCCCAGAGTGATTATGCTAAGAAGTCAAGAGATGAAGTTGATGAGTTTAACTTGTTCCAGTTCAAGTTTGGACTATCAGACCCTGGGATATTTTGCAGGTGGTTTGTTCTTAAATGGAAATGTGGGGGGGGAGATCAGAGAAAGTCTCATGATACTCTCTTGAATAGAAGGACTGCTGATTAGTCATGAGCTCAATTATTATATTCACTGCACTTCTGCTTGTTTCAGGACCCAGAGCAGCTACAGGATAAATCCAATGAGATTCTGACTGCCATAATCCAGGGGATGAGGAAAGAAGAGCCTAGTAATAATGTGAAGCTAGCAGCTACTAATGCACTCCTGAACTCACTGGAGTTCACCAAAGCAAACTTTGACAAAGAGGTAAGTGTCTTGATTAAAAAGTATAGGTTCAGAGGGTGAGGCAGGGGAGCTAAATGAAAGTTTTGTGTTGTTTTAAGGTTATGATTCAGAAAGTACTATCTTGTTTAGAAGCATTTATTTCCAGTCTAGTTAAAATTTGTGTTTTGTGAACATGGCCATGGAACAGGTGTTTGCCATTTCTCATCTGGCTTTTGAGAATAATGTGATCTAAAATGTTCCTAGGCTTAGGTTTTCCCTTTTGCAGTCCAAAATGTGAGTATGCTTTGGGGATTTTTTTTTTTTTTTAATTACGGAAATTGGGCTGTTTCGTACTTCAGTAGGAAGGTGCTTTTGGAAGTTAATATATAAATTCTATTTTGACTGAAAGTATTTCCCTCTATTATTTCTTTTTAGTTGTGTTAAAATGTACAATGAAATAAGGTTTACCATCTTAACCAATGTATAACTCAGTAGTGTTAAGAGTGTGTACATTGTTTTGCAGCCAATCTCTAGAACTTTTTTCATCTTGCAAGACTGAAACAATTGTTAATTCCCTGTTTTCCCTTTCCCAGTCACAGGCAACCAACTTTTCTACTTTCTGTTCTTATGAGTCTGTTTACTGTAGATAATTTATATTAACGGAGTCATACAGGATTTGATTTGTCTTTGTGACTGGCTCATTTCATTTAGCATTATGTCTTGGGTTCATTCCTGTTACAGCATGTGTCAGAATATCCTTTTTAAAACTGAATAGTATTCCATTGTATTTGTTTGTTGATGGGCATTTGGTTTGCTTCCTTCTGCCTTCTGGCTATTGTGAATAGTGCTGCTGTGTATGTGGGTATACAAATATGTCTTTGAGAAGTTGTTTTCTGTTCTTGGATATATTATCCAGAAGTGGAATTGCTGGATGATATGGTCTGAAAGCGTTGTATGTATTTGTTGACTCTTTAGTTGGGCTTTCTGGGTTTTTTTGGCCTTAGATTGGACAAAGTTGGGATGTCTAAGAAACCAAAGCAAACTGCAGTTCTAATTACTTGGAAAGCTGGGTTTTTCCTTGTGGATATCAAAAGAGGATGGAAGCAAACAAAATTCATTAAGTCTTCTGTGTTTTACCACAGTTGATCTGGGTTTGTTTAAATTAAGAATTCTCTTAAATTTTAAGTGCGAGGAAAGGAGTTTTCCTGATGTATGATTTTTTTTGTTTTAACCATTTTTATTTAAATCCTGTGACCTACATTTTTCTATCTGCTTCCTTCTTCAAGTCTTGTTTTTTTTTTCCCCAAGTCTTGTTTTAGTGAAGATCATTTGAGGGATTAAACGATTAGGGACCTCCTTAGAGGGCAGGTCAGATAGTAGACACCAGGGCAAACACTAGAGTCCTCATAGTCCCATTGCTGTGTCCAGGAAAACCTGCAAATGGTCCAGAGTTCTGTGGGTCCCTGAGGGAAAGAAAGGTTTTCCTTGAAGGGATAGTCTAGTAATCTTCGTATATATATGCTTCTTCTAATTCTCTTTATTTTTGTTCTTCTGCAGTCCGAAAGGCACTTTATTATGCAGGTAGTCTGTGAAGCCACACAGTGTCCAGATACGAGGGTAAGTGTGAGGTCATGTCTTCTATCTTTCCTAGAAAATGCTCACTCTAACATAGTAGTTTGAAATGTTGGAATCTGGTGACTTCAGAAATAGCGTTTGACTAATACTTTTATTAATAAAAGAATTTTTCTTCAATATATTAGAGAAGAGGAAAGAATAGTCCTTGGAAAGCTAACATGATGGAAGTTGCCACCCTCTTAAAAAAGATTTAAGGGAGAAATGGTTTGTGATCAGCCTTGCTACTTAATTGCTGTAGGTTGTTCAAGGGCCTGTTTTCCGTTATAGCCTTTGAAACAGCTTTCCTACTTTGGGAACCTAAACCTTAACCCTTGAAGCAGGTGGAAGTAACATCCAGTCTGAGGGCAATAGTGAGTAGTCCTGCCAAGGGTTCCACAGACACCTTTAAAGTAAAAAAGAAGGAAAGGAAGACATTACCCAAATATACCTTGATTGACCCTATAGATTATTGACCCACTTAGGTGAAGCAGGTACTTATTTACCTTTGTCAGATGGCATTGTTATTAAACTAAGAAGTAAACTGTTTAATCTGATGTTTGCACAAGGTACGAGTGGCTGCCTTACAGAATCTGGTGAAGATAATGTCCTTATATTATCAGTACATGGAGACATATATGGGTCCTGCTCTTTTTGCAGTAAGTACTTCTATTTTATGCAGTTGAGCATATATAGCTAATTGCAAAAGCCCCTTTGTTCTTAGATGCTGTTCTGTCAGTTCTGTAATTTTTTTATTTAATGTTGTGAAATCAAGGAAATTCCTTGAGTATTAGATTTGAGTTCATCAGCAGTGTGCCAAGAAAACTTGTGCTAACTTTGTACTCATAAGAAGAATATATTTTAAAACTCTTGTTTCTTCTTCCTGCCTTTCCTTTCAGACCTAGCTTTCATAAATCTACGTTTTTGAAACTTGAATATCTGTGGTTGTAGGAGGGGTCGAACTTGAACCAGCATTTATTTGGAAACTGGGGTATCTTGTTTTCTCTCTTAAGATCACAATTGAAGCAATGAAAAGTGACATTGATGAGGTGGCCCTACAAGGGATAGAATTCTGGTCCAACGTCTGTGATGAGGAAATGGATTTGGCCATTGAGGCTTCAGAGGTGAGCCTAGGAGGGTTGATGTGCTGGGAGCTGTTATTCTGACTGGGTTTTGGGACTTACCTTTTTTGTGGATGTTATTTTTCTCCTCTGGGAGAGCTTTATTCTGACTGGGGTTAGAAGGTATCTCCATTTGTAGAGATTTGGGGTTTTTTTTCACTAGCCACAACCATGAGGCATCTATTTTTACCAGCCTGGATTTGTTGTAAATATTAGTCCTGTGAACACAAGGGGGCAGCAGGCAGTCACATTTTAACCAGATGCTATCTGATGCTGAATTATTTTCTTTTGGAAGTCCTAATGCAAGGATGGGATGTATAATTGATAGCTTACCAACCGGTGAAGAAATTAGATATAGAGAAAGGGGTTAGTTCTGCACTTGCAAATTAAAATTCTGACTTTGTTTCCAACCTTAATTGTCTTTATGTCCTTCAGAAAGCACTGTCTTATTTTTGGCCACCTTCTGGGAGCTTAGTGCATCTCTTTATCCAAAGGTCAATTAGTGAAAAAAGAATGTAATTGTTAAGATTGCCTTGATACTTTAAGGTAGATTATATATATGGCCTAAAAGAATTTGATTGAAGTAGCTAGACAAAATGAGTGCCTCCAAAGACCACTCATACTGCATGTTACCATGTGCTTCATGTGTTTTGGCTGGGGGATGGAGCGCACCTCAAGGCATGCAGGATCTTCCCTAACCAGGGATGGAACCCATGCCACCTGCAGTGGAAGCGTGGAGTCTTAGCCTCTGGTCTGCCAGGGCAGTCTCTGTGTCCCTGTTGCCCTGAGCAGACCCATGGGCAGCTCTCACTGTATGACTTTACATGGTACGTTTTCCTAGTTTGTTTGCTGCCATCCGGAATTTGCTTTATGTTTCTCTTCAGGCAGCAGAACAAGGACGGCCCCCTGAGCACACCAGCAAGTTTTATGCCAAGGGAGCACTACAGTACCTGGTTCCAATCCTCACACAGACACTAACTAAGCAGGTGAGTTACCCTCCAAATCTAGTCAAGTGAACTGTGAGGCCTTGGTAATGGTTGGTTTGCTGTGGAACAGTTGCCATGAAGGAAATCCACAATTCTGAAACACCCTGATGTTCTTATCCATGACTTCAAAGAGCTGAACTGGATCTGTAAGGTCCTTTAGGCTCTGAGTAGTTTGTGACCAAATAAAAGGAACAAGACTTCATGAAGAATGTGGGTTTGATGAGTAAATAGAGAAATTATCTCTTTTTTTAAAAACTTATCTATTTTTGCCTATGCTGGGTCTTTGTTGCCGCACGCAGGCTTTCTCTAGTTGTGGTGAGCTGGCTTCTCACTGCAGGGGCTTCCCTTGTTGCGGAGCACGGGCTCTAGGGCACGTGGGCGTCAGTAGTTGCTGCGCATGGGCTCTAGGATGCAGCCCTAGTCGTAGCGCACGGGCTACGTTGCCCCACAGCTTGTGGAATCTCCCCGGACCAGGGATTGAATGGTGTCCCCTGCATTACAAGGTGGATTCTTAACCACTGGGCCACCTGGGGAAGAAGGCGCTGTTGTTCCTTTTTGGCTTTATGGTGTTCCTTTTGTTTTGTTATGGTGTTTAGGAAGATTCTGTCACCTCACCTGTTCTGGTGCATGTGAAATATACCAAAGAGCTGGCAGTGCTCTGAGGAAATAATGCTGTAACTGAGCACTGCAAAATTTCTGTGTTTACAGGAATATAACTTGCTTTTAGGGAATTTCATGACTCTTAATATAGCAGTCTCAAAAGATAAGTAGAGATATATTACTTTGAAATGCACTGGATGTTCCCTTAAATTTTCATTGCTCAGTTTTACAGCTGCTATTTTTTATTTTATTTTTTATCTTTGATCTTAGTATTTTTGCTTTTGTATATTTTTGCTGTGCTTCTCATTTGGGAACAAATCATTCTTTAGGTATGTAATTTTCTGAAACTGAGTAAGTATAAATGTCTTAAATTACTCTGGTGTGAATAGCCACAATAAAAATGACCTTGATTTCTAGTTTTGAGGGAGATCCAAATGTAATCTTTTTAAAATTTTTATTGAAATATAATAATTACCTGCATACCAGAAGGCTTCCCCTACCAATGCCTTCTTCCTCTTCCCTCACCTTTAACTCCATAGGTTTTGACTAATTTTGAGCTTTATATTACTAGTCATTTAGCTTTCTTCTGTTCTGCCTTTTATTTGATGTATTTGAAATTCATCTGTATTCCATGTAGTGAGAGTTTGTTCATCTTGTTGTATAGTAGGGAGAAATACCTTCCCTCTGTCTGCATCTTGTTTAACAGAGGTTGTGTTGACGAGTTTTGGGGAGGAGATAAAGATATGAAGGTTTTCTATTTTCTTTACTTTCCCAAAGCTTAAGTTGTAATGATAATTGGGAGTACTGTAGTCAGAGGACCTTTTGACTTGAAGAGCTTCTTTGATCAGGAACTGAACTAGTGCCACATTCTTTCACCAGGATGAAAATGACGACGATGATGACTGGAACCCCTGCAAAGCGGCAGGGGTGTGCCTCATGCTCCTGGCCACCTGCTGTGAAGATGACATTGTCCCACATGTCCTTCCCTTCATCAAAGAACACATTAAGAACCCTGACTGGCGATACCGGGATGCAGCAGTGATGGCTTTTGGCTGCATCTTGGAAGGACCAGAGCCCAATCAACTCAAACCACTAGTTATACAGGTGAAGCTGTGGGAGTGTAGGGGTGGGAAGTGGGGTGTTTATTGTTTAACTTTTTGCTTGATGATTTGTCTTTAAGAACAAAGCTGTAAATAGTCATCCACAGAGGTCACTTCTAGATAGCTATTTGCTGTCAATGAGGCATAAAATGCATTTCTTACTTAACTTTTATTACAAAAACCATATGACTTGAAAAATGGAGAAGAGGCCCCAAAAAAGGTTACTTTTAATCCTCTTGCCCAAGGATAACATTATTAATGCTTTGTATTTATCCCTGAAGATTTTTTCCATGTGTGTGTACTAGGGTGGAGGTCTTACTGTATCAATACTTTTACAACTTGTTTTTTGTTGGTTTCTTTTTTCTTCACTAAATATTATAACACAAATAATTCTCCATGGTTTTTAATGAGGTGAGTATTCAATCCTCCGGACAAAATGACATGTAATGAAAAATCTTAATGAAAGTTCTGTATTTATTTTGCTACAACAAGTGACACAAGAATGCATTTTAGTTGTTTAGTATATAGAAAACCTTTCAGGAATAGCTAAATGCCATTTCAGCTGCATCCTGGGATCTCTGCCTGAATAATTCAGTAAAGATGGCTGAAAGTATTTGTACCAAAGTCTTAATAAAACTATACTGAGATTTGATGAAGAGAGGGGAACTTTTTCATGTTTCCAGTTACTTTTGTTATATTGTTGAATATTTGACAAGCATATCTTATAAAATGACAAAACTGTTTTGATAACTTTGAGTTAAAACCCAGCCATCAGTATTTCCTCTTCTGGGATGTTGGGTCAGCATGAATGTCAATCTTTGTTTTGCTTTGCCAATAACTTATGTTTATAGGCTATATTTGTTTTGTGTTGCCAATAACTGTTATATTTACAGGCTATGCCCACCTTAATAGAATTAATGAAAGACCCCAGTGTAGTTGTTCGAGATACAACTGCATGGACAGTGGGCAGAATCTGTGAACTGCTCCCTGAAGCCGCCATCAATGATGTCTACTTGACTCCCCTGCTGCAGTGTCTGATTGAGGGCCTCAGTGCTGAACCCAGAGTGGCTTCAAATGTGTGCTGGGTGAGGCATTTTCTTCCTGTTGAGATAAGGAGCTTGACTAAGCCATTGGCAAGGAAGTAGGAGGTGTGGGAGAGAAATGGGTCTACCTGACTAGAAGGCTCTTTTTGAATAGCATCTCCTTCCTAATTTCATCAATTAAAATGTGGGGGAGATGTAAGCTGCATGACCCAGAGGGAGCTGTTGACTCATGGTGACTGGTTCCCGAACTGTTTAGAACAGTCATGCTAACCCAGTGGGAAAACTCTCTGGACTTGGTTTTCTTTCTTTTCTTCAGTGGCTTGGGGACAAGAAATTTTAAGGTAGAGAGTTGCTGGCTATGAAAAGTACCATTGCTGAGAAGGGGGCACGAGGGAAGGAAGGTAGGCGGCCCAAGTGCTGAGTCAGTATAGGCTGAGTATAGTTCACTAGGGAACTTTGGGATTTGGGGGAGGAAGTTCAAATAAGGAAGGAGTGGGGTTGAAAGGCTTCCTGTGAATGGAAAGAGAAGAAATGAAGTGGCAGGCATTTGTGGTAGGTGAGAATACTGTACTGTTTAGAGACTATTTCTCCTTTGGGCAGGAGAAACAAAATATAGATACATACATTTATTTAATTTTAAGGATACTTACAGATGTTGTCTTGAGATGACCTTGACGGGAAGAATTAAAGATTTACTGCCATTGATTTATTCTTAGATCCGTTGGAAAGGAACACTGCCTAGGGTATCTTAAGGGAAAATGAGGTGATCCTGAAATGGGGTTCTTTTCAGGACTAATTAGTATTTACTCTGTCTGGGTTTAAGGCTTTCTCCAGTCTGGCTGAAGCTGCTTATGAGGCTGCAGATGTAGCTGATGATCAGGAAGAACCAGCTACCTATTGCTTATCTTCTTCTTTTGAACTCATAGTTCAGAAGCTCCTGGAGACCACAGACAGGTAACTGATACTATACAGAAATAAGTGTTGTCTTTGCATCCAACTCCTTTTACACTCTTTGTGGGGACTGTCTAATATAGAAACATTGCAATAGGATAAATGAAAAGAATCCTGTTGCTTTGTTGCCTAGCTTATGGGATCTTAGTTTCCCAACCAGGGATTGAACCTGAGTCTTTGGCAGTGAAAGCTGGAGCCCTAACCACTGGTCCACCAGGGAGTTCCCAAGATACCTTTTTCATAGCTTTTTGTGCAACCTATTCTATTGTCCACATGGGTTCTTCAGCATTCTTGCCTGTTTTTCATATAATTTTAGCCCCTTTCTAAAAGGGCCATTCTAATTATCAGGTCTGGAAACCATACTGAGCATAATCATTGGCTCAGAGGTTGAAATTTTGGTTCCAGGCTGTATTGTATCTGCCAAATTCAGATCAGGCCTGTAGCCATATTGGTTTGTGGGTTATTTTCAGTGAGATAATGTGTACATAAGAAGACTTTCTGTCCTTTCTCAGTTAAGACTTGAAGGTTTTTTGCTGTGTGTTCATTACAGACCTGATGGACACCAGAACAACCTGAGGAGTTCTGCATATGAATCGCTAATGGAAATTGTGAAAAACAGTGCCAAGGATTGTTACCCCGCGGTTCAGAAAACTACTCTGGTCATCATGGAACGACTGCAACAGGTGCTCCAGATGGAGGTGAGACTGAACGCCTTCCTGGTGGGAAGGGCATGGTACTTTACACATAGCTGTATTTTCAAGACTGTTCTCTTTTTTTGGTGTTTAAGTATATATGTTCTTAGAAAGACATAAGGCTCATACAAAAAATGTTGTAACTTCCAATTGCATTGCATGCTACAGTTTATTCATATATGTGTTACACCATATATATACATAGGTTTTTTATTTACTTTCCATTAGCACTAGTAGAGATTATTTATCCAGCAGAAATGGAAGCATTTTTGGAGGGCATTTAGAGCCTTTTAGAAAGTGTTTGTTCAGAACACGATCTTCTTTTCTTTGTAGTCACATATCCAGAGCACATCGGATAGGATCCAGTTCAATGACCTTCAGTCTTTACTCTGCGCAACTCTTCAGGTATGATGGTGCCTTATCACTTAATAGCACCAGGTAAAGCACCGTGTCTCAGGATGACAAGTTCACGCACACACAGAACTCTGAAGATGATGTTGTGGGCGATGATGGTCAGAAGGTCTTCTCAAAAGACAGTCGTCTGATTGATTAGGAGAGTTTCCCATTTTCCTTTCTTGTCTGTCCATAAAATTTGCCAGTGCAGTGCAATTTACCTTTTGTACAATGTAGGCAAGGAAACTCCTCCTATTTGTGATGGTCCTCCCAAACATGAGCAGCTATTTTGTATTAGCAGCCTTTCGTTTTTGGTTTACATCAGGTCGTTCAAGTGTAGCCCAGTCAGATTTGGTTCCCAGCTATGGTTCACTGAGCTAAAAACAGACCCTTGTGTTTTTGCCATCATCTTTGGAAGCAACTGCTATTGGAAACTTTGTTATTTATAATTGTATATACAGATTATAAATTTATAATTTACTGATAATGACAGTAGACTTTTTTTTCCTGAGGAGAGACTGGGAAAATTAAAATATTACTCCTTGATCATGACTAGCATGATGGCATGGCTGAAGAGTTACTCCCTTTTTTACCTAAGAACAGGGAAACCTTGGAACTTGTCTAGTGCTTAGGGTAGGTACTACCCTAAGTGATGCTAACTAGGTCATCTTACCTATGACTCCCTTCTCCTTGAGTCTTCTTATGCCAGACTTAATTTTTTAAAACATGGCTGTTAACAGGCCTTTCCTGATCCAGTGACATTAGTTGAAACAAAGGGTAAGGAGGGAGGTTTGAGGAATGTTGAATTGGGAAAAGTCAGATTGGCTTTATCAAGACTTTCTTGACCACAATCTGTAAATGGGTTAGGCCATAGAAAGGGTTGCTTTTTTGTTTTATGAGTAGCAATTCTCATATGACATGTCCTTCTTCAAAGCTGAAATAATTTAACTGCCATTTTAATACAGCTAAATATGGAGGCTGATTTATCACACTTGATGGAAGGTCCTCTTGTGTTTGTTCTGAATTGGGAAATAGATGAGTTATTTAGATGTATTGTTGCAGGTGATTTGCACTTTCAAAACTTCTGAGCAGAAAAAGCTTTTCCCCAAAAAAATTTCTAGAGACTTAACTGATTTAAAACAAAAAAATTAAAGACACAGTATGGTGTGCTGGTTGGAGGGTTTGGAATCAACAGATTCTGAACTTTTATTCATTTTACAGAATGTTCTCCGGAAGGTGCAACATCAAGATGCTTTGCAGATCTCTGATGTGGTCATGGCCTCCCTGTTAAGGATGTTCCAAAGCACAGCTGGGTCTGGGGGAGTGCAAGAGGATGCCCTAATGGCAGTTAGCACATTGGTGGAAGGTCAGTGAGCCGCAATCAGGCAAGGAAACTTCTTTAGAGTGCAAGAGAGTTTCAGTAGCCATGAAGAATTTTTGACTGCAAAAAGCATAGTCCTGCTTTTCACTTACTGGATATTGAGTCAGTTCAGAGTTGGATTGAACATAAGTATAAATTTGTGTATAACTGCCTTGCCACTCTCCCTGAAGTGAATGGGAGCCAATTTGCAAGTCAGGTTGGCAGTTCTTCGTGGGGTAGAGGGAACTGTTATCTATCTCGCGTTCCTCGGGTTCCTCTCCCCCCTGAAACTTAACTTCCTTTATTGAACTTTGACACCTGTAAAGGATGGAGGAAGCAAAGGTTTATGTTTTCTTTCCTGGCACTTGGTACCTTCTGGTTTGGGTTTTAATGCTTTGGATCTAGGTTGAGACAATATGGTGCCTAGTATGGAATGAGATGAAACACTGAGTTCTAGGAATTAATTGATTTTCTGATTGTTACGTATCTAACTATTTGGAATTGCTTTGGGGAAACCATATCCGACTTCAGAAACCAGGAATACTTCTTCAGTGGTGGTCTCTAAGGTGTATTATTGAGGCAGACTCATTTCTAGCATAAGGAGCCTATGTCCAACTGGTTTGGCACCTTGTGACCACCCTGGCAGGGCACAGAAGTTAATTTTGGTTCCCAGAGTAGCTGAATTGAATATGAAACCCAGGCAGCTTTTCTTGACTGGCTTGTTAAATAAGTCCTTGATGAAACTGCTTAAAGATCCTGTTTTATTAAGCTGGCTTCTGGGAACCCCTCATGGCCTACTGGTTAGGATTTGGTGCTTTCACTGCCATGGCCCATGTTCAATCCTTGGTCAGGGAACTGAAATCCCACAAGCCACATGGTGAGGCCAAAAAAACAAACTGGCTTCCAAAGTGTTCATGTTACAATCAGATGAAGAAGTGGAAGTCAGTATGACTACCTCAGCCAATTCATAATGAACCTTGACATTCCTTGAGAGCCATACCACTTGGTAGTTTCAACCAGAGTGAAATCCCACTCTGGAGATTTGGCATTATCTCCAACAGTTATGAATTTGGCTTGTCCAAGACAGCAATAATGTCTTTATGATAAAATTGGTATTTAACTCTCATTTTACCCTGCCTTTTGGCTGGAGTGCGTACATTTTGGGAGAGCTAAGATGGTTATTTTTGCTCTCTTCTGTGATCCTGTGGTGCTAATAGATGGGGTTTTTTTTTTTTTTACAGTGTTGGGTGGTGAATTCCTAAAGTACATGGAGGCCTTTAAACCCTTCTTGGGCATTGGATTGAAAAATTATGCTGAGTACCAGGTAAGCTATGCTTTTCAAAAATATGTTTATGTCCTCATTTATACCTGGTAGGCATCATAGTACAGAAATCTGGATCCTGTAACAGAGGTGGTACTTCCCCATGTATCAGGGTTGAGCTACTTTGTTGCCTTAAGTGTCTGAACTAAAAGTAGTCAGTAAGAAACTGGATATTAGACACACCAGAGTAGCACCCTCAGAAAGGTTTTGTTTTGTTTTCAATAAACCATCTGTCTCTGCCACCACCTTCCTTGGTGAATATTGTCTTTTCTGTCCTTTCTTAATGATAGTTTAAATAATCCTAGTTCTCTTTCTGCCATATTGGTTGTTAAAATGAACTAAGCTCAGGGAAGAAGGGTCTTTGCTGCTTTGACTCTAGGTTCATGTGGTAAAGGATCAGTAGCTAGGTAAAAATCCTGCCTTACCCCTGCAGGCAGACTTTTCTGTTCCAGAGATAATCAACTTGATTCTTTGCAGGTTTGTTTGGCAGCTGTGGGCTTAGTGGGAGACTTATGCCGTGCCCTGCAATCCAACATCTTACCTTTCTGTGATGAGGTGATGCAGCTCTTACTGGAGAACTTGGGGGTGAGTGTCTACACACAGAATCTTAGAAAGATGATTAAACATCAAGATCTGTGACAGAGAGTTTGTATGTTCCAGAATGTTGGGCTTATGAAGGGAATTGTTCATTTTTACAAGATGATTCTAACCTAAGAAAATAAAGTAATGCGTGCTCAATGTATGGAACCTGAGAGGCACTGGTGGAAACCTGTAAAGTGCAAAGAAAAAGTAAATATTATAATCTCTCTCTCTCTCTAGAGATGACCACTGCTGATTTTTGTGTATGTCACTTACAGGTCTATAACCAATATTTTAGTTGCTTATTGTTAAAAAAAGCTCTTTGAGTCTTTGGACAGAACTTTTTTTTTTTTCCTCCTTGTCAGAATGAAAATGTCCACAGGTCTGTGAAGCCACAGATTCTGTCAGTGTTTGGTGATATTGCCCTTGCTATTGGTGGAGAGTTTAAAAAATACCTAGAGGTTGTTTTGAATACTCTTCAGCAGGCCTCCCAGGCCCAAGTGGACAAGGTAAGCTTAAAGGTATCTTTAAGTCCAGCTCTGATTGGAGGAGCGGGACTTTTGACAAATGCACAACCAAAGGCCATCAAATACAGTGATTCTGTTCTTTTTCTCTTGCAGTCAGACTATGACATGGTGGATTATCTTAATGAGCTACGGGAAGGCTGCTTGGAAGCCTATACTGGAATTGTCCAGGGATTGAAGGGAGACCAGGAGAACGTACACCGTTGAGTATACATTCCAGTTGACTTAAGTCTAGTGTGCACTTAGCCAGATGGACTCTGTGTTCATTGTATGGCTTACATGCAAACTAGCACTTACTGCTTAAAAGAAGGGGAGGATGAACAGTGCTCTAATGAAGGGAGTAGCTTTGCAGGGAAGTTATAGACTTTATTATTTCTGACCACCGCGTCTTCAGCTGTGTTGTTTAACAACTTGATCATTGCAAGGGATGGAATCTAACAAGGCTGTTGATGCTGGTGCATGTGTACCAACCCCAAGTGGGAGTTCTTGAGATGTGCTGCCCCTCCCCCCATCCAGTCATCTGAATTGAAGGATTGGGGGATTAGATTTCCTCTGTCACCTGATGTTTTTTGTTATTGACTGGGGAAATATTGTACTTCACACTTCTGATGTCATAGGCTTAAAGATTGCATTTGTCCTACTACATATATATACATACTTCTGTTTGTTAAGGAGTATCTACCTCTTCTGTTGACTTGAAGAATGAGGAAAAATAGTTTGGTGTAACTGTGTATGACTAGTTCTCTGGACCGAAGCCTCCATGATGGGGGTCGGGTATTTGGGAATTTTGAAACAGGGTGTATGTCTGCCAGCTGGAGGGCAACCTCATTAGACCTTCTTTTTCTTTTATAGCGGATGTGATGCTGGTACAGCCCCGAGTAGAATTTATTCTGTCTTTCATTGACCACATTGCTGGAGATGAGGATCATACAGACGGAGTAGTAGCTTGTGCTGCCGGACTGATAGGGTGGGTTATACTCTGCTTCTGATAGTTGAATAGAACTTCTCACAGAAAATGAGAAGACATGTTGTAAAGAATATTGAGAGTAGCCTGGATGGTAATTACCCACCTTTTTTGGCACAGAGGGGACTTCTTTCTTTAGTAGACCCCATCTTACCCTGTTTTGAGTTCTTAGATGATAATTCATTTCGGACTTAGCTCTAATCTCATTCCAGACCCTCCAGATTTCTAATTTCTCCCACCAAACTCTTAAGAAGTGAGCTCTCAAAGAAGTATAGAAGCAACATCAGATCTATGTCCATCTCATATTCTGGTGTTGGTCAACAAATTACCTCTGTTGGCCTCCTCTACTGAGGGTTTTTGAGGCATCATTAGAAGACAGAACATTGGTTTTGAGGAGCTCAAAGACTTGGAGTCTAGTTCTTATTTTACCATGAATTAGCTGTGGAACCTTGGGTAAGGTCATTCTTTTTTTTTTTTTTTTTTTTTTTAAGAGAGAGACTTGGAAATCAAGTTCTTATCTGAATACTGTAACCTCAAATAAAATTGAAGTTCTATTTTTTTTTTTTTTTTTTTTACATCTCATTTTTGTAATTTGTTGAGGGCAGGTGTTAGACTTACTTATCTTGAAAATTTCTTCTGGCTTTAAAAAGTAGGTGAATACCAAGAAACCTATAGCTAGTTTAGCTATAGGTTTGGAAGGTTCTAAACGTGATCTTGTTGTGGGGCCAAGAGCTCATTTTCAGGTGTGTTTAATTTGCACAGGGACTTGTGTACAGCATTTGGGAAGGATGTACTGAAATTAGTAGAAGCTAGGCCAATGATCCATGAACTGTTAACTGAAGGACGGAGATCGAAGACTAACAAAGCAAAAACCCTTGCTACATGGGCAACAAAAGAACTGAGGAAACTGAAGAACCAAGCTTGGTAAGAGCTTGTCTCCACTGCCCTTTCTTCTGCTTTCTTGGGGAGGAGGTACATTTCCTTTAGACTTTTCTGACAAGGGCTTTCTTTTGGTGTTTTGTACTATTTCCCATATAAGTGCTTCTGAGCCAGGACTTTGTTCCTCAGCTTTGTACTAGTGGAAGAGTCAGGCAGCCCATTTTTCCTTGAGCCAAGTATTTGGTGATAAAGGACAGAATTTACATGACTAGAATTCAGTGAAGTCCCCAAATCGTTTTGGAACCTTAATAAAGTTATCGATAATGGCTTTTTCCCGTAAATCTTTCTCTGCTCTCTATTTCTTTCCTCATGTTCTTTTCTTTCTTTACTGAAGTGCTTTTAGACAAGGCTTTATTTTACAAAAGATATCCAGAGTTGGAGTTATCTGACATCTGCTTTGAAATGTAGCTTTGTTTTTCTCTCACTTACACCACAGATCTCAGGGCTTCCCAGGTGGCACTAGTGGTAAAGAACCCACCTGCCAATGCAGGAGACACTAAGGATGTGGGTTCGATCCCTAAGTTGGGAAGATCCCCTAGAGGAGGGCATGGCAACCCACTCCAGTATTCTTGCCTGGAGAATTCCATGGACAGAGTAGTCTGGTGGGCTACAGTCCATGGGGTCACACAGAGTAGGACACGACTGAAGTGGCTTAGCACACACGCACATATCTCAGTAAAATTGGCCATTTTGAGTTTAATCTTTATGGTTTCCCACCCTTTGTAAGTGCTAATGAAAGCAGGTANAAAAAAAAAAAAAAAAGGAAAGACGCTCTTCAGGTTTTGTTTTTTGGGTTTTGTTTTTTTTCCTTTTCCTTTTCTTTTTTTTAATTTTAGGGAAAACACTGATGAATGGTCAGAGCTCCCATCCTGATCTTTTCATCAAGGCGCCTTTCCTAATAATATGGTTCAACTGTGAATGTAGAAATTGGGGGGGGGTTGGGGGGAGAAAAAAAAAACTCTGGAGTTAGAGGATATAGAAAAAATAAAAATACATTGTTACAAATAAAGAATGCAGACTCCAAAAGAAAGCCACAACCCAACAAAACAAAATTTAAATGCTCAGAATTGGCAGCACAAAAGAAAAGTCCTCTCCTGACATGTATTGTGGCAGTCTGAACGCCCCCAGAAAATTGTGCCAAAGAGTTTAGAAAACATATACTAAAAACAAAACACATACAAACAGCAAACTTCAGGTAACTATTTTGGATTGCAAACAAGGATAAATTTAATGTTTATAAACAATCTGATAAAATAACCATTTGGAAACTGCTTGGCCTTCTGTTCTCATTTATTTGATTGATTATAATGAGGTATTGGTCTCTTGCTGCACTTCAAAACCAAGTGATCAAAAGAATACATATGTATGTGTGTGTGTGTGTGTGTATACACACACACACACACACACACACACACATATATACATTAGAACTCGTGTGATGAAAATGGCACTTGAAAAGGTTATATTTTTCCACTGAAGTTGAAGATTAATAAAATGGTGTCAAAACATTCCCCTGGTCACACGCTTTAATATTTTTGTTTAAAGTGTGATGTGCTATGGTAACGATAAATCAATTATTTTCCCTTTTACAAGGGAACAGGGCACCTTGAATTTTGGTTTTAGCCTCTTTCAGCAATAAGGAGGGATGTCAGTGAGCTTTGATCCCCTTTTGGTTTTGCAATTATTAGGAGTTTTTGCTGGCATTTTGAATATGCTGCTTTCAAAAGCACCATGGAAGATTTTAAATTGCTTCCTGGTATTTGGAGGATTAAAAAATAAGACCTTAACTTCCCACTTTTACTTCCATTCTAGCAAAAAATATGGGCTTACATTTTTTTCTCTTTGCCAACTCCCTGTTCAGGCCTTCCATTCATAAGTGGGATTGGCTCAGTTTTGCCCATCCATATGGCAGCATCTCTAATAGCTCTTGTACAGGGTATCAGATATTGTGCCTTTTGGTGCCAGGTTCAAAGTCAAGTGCCGATCTATGAACCAGTGTACAAAAAAAAAAAAAAAAAAACCAGGTGTTTGAAGGAAAGACACTCCATTGTGAATAGAGAGCTCACACCAGCTCCTAAGCCCTATGAAGAGACCTGGCTTTCTAATGCCTTGTTTAAATTTTAGTTGTTCCTTGAGGGAAAGGATGATACACTAACCATTCCTGATAAGGGTTGGTCAGGGCTTAGGGAGGGGGCAGGAATATTGGGGAGAAAAAAAATCTGATCATTCCTCAGTGCTACCCATTTCTGTCCTGTGTGGGCTGCTTAGCTAGACAGCAGGAGAATAAAGTACACCGAGAACCATAATGAAAACAAAACCTTCCGTGTGTTTTGTCATGTTTTGTTCCAGGGAAGCAGTTGACAAGTGCTGTTACTAATGCTTTCTCCCAGACCATTCAGTGACGGAGAGGAGGAAAGTGGGCTGGCTGGTTTGTGGTCTTGGTGCCTCGCAGTTTTCTTTGCACTGGTTATGCATTTATTATCCTCCTCTTTTCTAGTTACCTTTGGGGTCTTCCCACTGGGTATTTGTCCTTAATCAACTGTACCACCTAAGGCAACTGGATGCAAAATGCATTCTGTCCACTCACTGTCTGGGCCTTCCCCACTCTAGTCTTGGCACATTCCTTCAAGAATGTCATTACCGTCTGGTAAGATGTCAGTGAAATGTGAAGAAAACAGGCATCAGACTAGGCTTTGGTTTGCCACAAGTGGCAGCTGCCTATATCAATTACAATTACATTAATTTTGCTTTTCATTTTCCCAGTTCCTCCCAGCTCCCTTCTGTTGAAATGTTGAGATTTTGGCTGTCAGAGGCAACTGCAGCATTGCCTTAGGGACTTGTGGAGGAGGGGAATTGCTCAGTGTAGTATTTTCATTTTCAGAACCAAGTAATCTAGTCACTCTTATATAAAAATGTGTTAGTCCAACTTTAAGAAAAATTCAAACTCCATCAGCTTTTGATAGCATCTTGGATTTTCAAACAGCTTCAATCTGTAATTGGCATTAAGAATGCCCTTGGCATGCCAGTCTGTGATGGCAGTAAAAGACCTGTTAAAACACTTGACCCCAACTTTATTAACCAAAACTGATACCACCACCTTTATCTTCTAAATAAAGTCCGCTTTATTTTTATTTTCAACATTTTGCCGCTTCATTTTTGGTTCTAGATGGTGTCACCTTCTTGGAGGTGAAATGAGCTGTTTGAAAGAAGCTGGTATGTATGGTGATAGATGTGTGAGTTGGGGAGAGGAAGGACACATCTAAGGACAAGCTCTGCTGTAGTACAATGGGAAATGAGTAAGAAACAATTTCCTACAAGTGAGGCAGTGAGAACTACGTGGAGGAGGTTTCCTGTCCAGAGAAATCTGAAACTGCTGGAGACTGTCCTGTCTTGTGCATATTTTTCAGGCTAATGATCTGGTCTGTAATGGCTTATCCAAAAGTTGGATTTTTTAGTTTGCAGCGTGTACTTAATTTCTGCTCACACTCTTTCCCCACCTCTGCCCCCCCAGGCCCGAAACTTGTAGAGGAAAGAACACTAGCTTGAGATTAAGAAACGGTCCTTTCTTTCATCCTGCTATTTATTAGTGCAGTGAGATGCCTGCAGGCTACTTTATGGAAAAATGCACTTTCTTTATGTTGGGCAAATAAAATGAGGGCTGACCTTCATTTTCCTACTTTAGCCTCCATGTGGCCTTTCACCATTTCTGATTGCACACCCGTCAGTAAGAAATTTTTGATCATGCATACCCCTATGTGTTGATAAATTATATACCTGTACTACTGTACCCCATATATTGTGTAATCATAAGACACAAAAATAGATATTAAAAAGCAATTATATGAAAAATAAATGTAAGTAGGAGTTCTAATATTTTTTTTCTGTACCCAACTTTGGAGATTACTGGGTTATAGAGGGTAACTTGTAGTTCTTACTAGACTGCATTAAATTTTGAGTGATGGCAAGGACATTTCTCCATTGAAAGTATACTTGGAGGAAAGAATGGTATCTGTTCATTATCGAATGATAAGGAAGAGCTGCTTCCCCTAAGAATCTTTTTCCCAACAGTCCTCCAGATAATTCCCCGTTCCTATTTAACTCCCTCCTCAACTAACACTGAGAAAGGACATAAGAGTACAAGGTTACAGTTGCATCTGGCCTCATCAAGGATTCCAGCCTGACCTCCCTGATGTGAAAAACTAAACGCTGAGAAGATTTTATGTTTTATTATACCTTAATTCTCAGAACCTTAGTAGAATGCTATATGGGAGAATATACAGGCATGAGGGGCAAAAAGGGTAATTTATCAGACCAAGGTCACAATGGAGCTAGAGTTCAAACCCAGGTCAGTCAGATACCAAAACCCAAGCTTTTTCTCTTATTTGTCCTAGACAGATACTGTCCATCTTAGTGATACAAAACAAAGATCCATACTGTACGTATTTAAGATATGCCATCCATTTCCTTCACAGCACTATCTAAAGGTACATTTGCTTATTTATTGCCAGATTTGCCAACTATAATGAAGGCTCCCAAATTTGGTGACCTTGACTGTCTTTGCTCAGCCTAGGATAGTATCTGAAGTTACAGTAGACCTTTATAAATATTTGTTGAACTAATGACATGCTAGTACAGTTGAGGGAGTCTCTGAAATGGCATCATTTAGCCTTTGAAGGGCAGAGCATTCAGAAACCTGGGAATGGCAGAGACTTGGGTTCCTAGCTCTTACCCTCGCATTTGCTGGATGACTTCAGGTTAGCCTCTTCACCTTGGGTTAACTGGAGGAATGGGAGCAGGATTAGTCAATAGTCACATAGTGTTCATTTTATGCACTTAACAAGATGCCAGGCTTGTAATAAGCATCTTAAACAGACTAATACAAGTAACCCTCATCAACCCTATAACAAAGACACCATTTTAGTCCCAGTTCACAGATAAGAAAAGAGAAGTGCAGAAGGGGCAAGAATCTTGCCCCAAGACACTGGTAAGTGAAGCAGCGCTTCCTCCGCACGCTGTGCTCGTCCCGCTGGACTGCTGCAGGCTGTGCTGTGCATGGCTCAGGGGTGAGCAGATGAGCCGCTGCTCCCAGTGAGCTTACAGGTAACAAGCAGGGGGAGACATGGATGAAGGGGTTTGGGAATTAAATGATGAAGTCATTTTGCCTGGATTCTGTGAGGTCCACTGTGAACTTTTTGTCAACTGTCAAACTCCTAAGGATAGAGGGGGCAGGTGTGTGACATACTCCCTAAAGCCAACTTGACTCCCAGCTGGAGTTTGAATCTTCTCCCTGTTCTGCTTCACTTTCCCTCTGAGCTAAAAGCTTTGGGGAACCGGACTGGGGGGGGGGGGGCAGGGTGGATGCTGGTGCCTGGTGGCCCAAAAGTACACTCCACCTCTGAATTACCCGTGTGCCATCAGCCAATCCTGGGCAGTGCAGCACGGGTAGGAGACCTGAGCTGTTCCCTCTCCCAGGTGCTCCTAGGCCATAAGTTCCTGAGCTTAACTCTTTGTATGAAACATACCTTCTTGTTTGGAAGCAAAGTACATCTCAGCTTTGTAGCCGGGCCTGAGCTCTGGATGCAGAGGGGCAGCCTGTCACCATCCTGAAGAAAAGAATTAAGAAATGGCTTCCTGTGAATTGGCTCTTCATTGCAATGAGCAATGCCTCCTATTTTCTGAGCCCTGCCCTTCAAAATAGTCTTAAGTCCTTAGAGTATAACCTTGTGCAAACTCTTCTTTTCTGATCAGGAGACTCCTCATCTGCAAAATAGGGGTCCCAATGAAGGAAAATAGAAAGTTCTAAGTACAGGATCTCAACACATGCATTAATTAAATTAACTGATCAATAACTATCACTGAATTATGTGCCAGGCTCCAGGGATACAGTGGTGAATGAAGCAAATAAAACCTCCTTCCCATGGAGCTGCTGGACAGCACATAGTATTCAAAAATTCAGCAGAGGTATACCTCAAAGATACTGTGAATTCTGTTATAGACCGTCCTGATAAAGAGACTATCTTGATAAAGCAAGTAATTTTTTGGTTTCCCCTGTGCATAAAAGTTACATTATACTGTAGTCTATTAAGTGTGCAACAGCAATATGTCTGAAAAAAAAGTACGAACCTTCATTTAAAAATAATGCTATTGGAAAGTTGGTGCCAATACACTTGATTGATGCAGGGTTGCCACAAACTTCCAATTTATGAAAAACAGTATCTGGGAAGTGCAATAAAGTAAAGCACAATAAAATAAGGTATGCCTATAGACTAATTTTTAATTGGGACATAGCAGAAATGCATATAGTTGTGAAAAATATGAAGCACAAATAGTTATAAACTTTGGACCCAAACCTTGCAGATTTGATTGGAGGATGTACGTTACCTCCACAGAAACTGGGGGATATGGGGAAGGAATGAGTCTTGCCACCACTGTGTAAACCTCTGATATGATGGAAGACTATCAACTACAGTTGGAATCCCAGGATGGTTCTGCAGCAAACCCTAATTTTCTAGGGTCTAGAATGGGAGGGCTAAGGTGGCAACTGAATCCAGCATTGTCACATGTGTCTAATCAATTTTTCTGCCTGCCTGATTCTATTTGAGTCATCTGCATTTTATTTTGATTCAATGTTTTTGCCAGCTAACACCACCTCCTCCATTTCAGGCAAGAATGGGACAGGAAAGATAATGTTTCTCCAGAGCAAGAGTCCTGGGAGTGGGAGACAGTCCCCACCCCAAAGATTTCCAAGGAGAAAACATGTTGGGGTGACGGGCTCTGCTTCTGTCTCTCCCACCAGTAACTCAGCCATCCACCACATTCCCTCCTTTCCTCTCACTTACCCCCTACTTTCCCCAGGACCTTGGGTTTTACCTTTTCCTGTCTCTATCATGATGAACCCTGATAATATGGGTTCTTAGAAGGGATTCAGACCAATTGCTAGTTTTCTCAGGTGAGAGAGGTAACATCCAAAAGTCACACAACTTCACCCACTTATTCAACCAGGAACACTCCTTCCTACCCTTTAAATTTTAGCTTAAACATTACCTCATCAGAGGACCTTCTCTGACTACTTTATCTAAAGCAGATTCCCACCCTCCAAAAAAATTATTCTTTATTGTTGCCCCTTTTGTCTTCTGACTCTTTATCACAATCTAAAATTGTTTCATTTATTAAAAAATTTTTCCCCATCTGACTCCTCTACTAGAATATAAGCTCCATGAGGGTAGGAGAGACAACAAGTGTTCAAGAAATCCTTGTTGAATAAGTGTACAGTGAGCAGGTACTATCAGGGCAGCTGGGGATACAGATGGGTAAAATGCAGTCCCTGTTCTCAATGTCTGTCCAATACAAACAGAACCAGAAATGGGGGAATGCTACGAAATCAAGTCTAGATTCCAAGGAGGTATTTTGGGGGCACCTGAACCAGGCATAATCTCTGTTGGGCTTTTGCTACCAACTGCTTAGAACCCCAAATAAATCACCCGGCTGGCCCTGCCAGCTGACTCAGGCCTGAACCCTGACCAGCCCAGAAGCATCAGGAGCTGACAACTAATTCAGTAGAGTGTGTGCTTAGACTATCCTGGGCCCATTACCCTTTCCAGTGAAACAAGGTCTGCCAGTCAGTTTCAGGTCCAGCTGATGGCCCAGTCCATGCTCATTAAGACCTCAGGCAACCCCACTACCTTTAAGCCCAGCCTCCAGTCTTTTGCCTAGTCCTCTTAAGAGTTTTGAAAGAGAACCTGTGCAGTCTTAAGGAAGATGACACCTGCCTAGCCCTCTGGATTAGTGGGGTGACAGATGTCCCAGCTGGGTAGCCTTCATATCTAAAGGGCAGGTGGACTGTCCCACATGGCTCAGAAAAAGCCAGTGTTGTGGACTGTAAAAGGCTAACAGGAGAGACTGGAAGGGAAAACAGCAGGAAAAGGAGGAGGTAGGAAGCCGATGAGAATCCCTTTCTTTGAAAGGAAGGAGTACAGAGCCTCTGCTGGCTCTTCTGGGAGGAGTTCACCCTTCAGCCCACTCTTCTCCCTACAGTGGGGCAAAATGGGAGCTGCTGCTGCTGCTGCTTCTCAAAGCTCACAGCAAGCAAGAAACCTTTTTTCCTGTCCTTTCCACATTCACCACTCCTTCCTCCAGTAGCCAAAAAGGAAAGCTCGGGTTCCCAGCAGCCTGAACCTTCTCTCCAGATGTGAGGCTTCAAGCTAAATGCTGAACCCACCCAAAGCCCCTGACTTACCCTATACCCTGCTTCCAGGGTTGGCTTGTCAGGAGTTAGCCAGAGTCCTCCAGAATTTCCCAGATCATTCTCTACTGCAGCCAGGCTGACCATGCCTCTGCCCACGTTTTTTAATCCATCAGGGAATAACCAAAAAGACTTTAACACCCCAGAAGAGAGGAGTCACAGATCACATTTAGTTCCTATCCCCATTCCTCTTCTACAGTTGCCCAGGTCAGGAATTATCTCCAATTTAATTCAGAGGGGTTAAGTAATTTGCCTAAGGTCACACAGTGGGAAAGGGACAAAAACTTGTGACTCCTGCCCAGCAGTTTGGCAGGTGCTCAAATACTCTTTGTGGAAAGGGTGAAATCTGTTTGTTCATTTCGCTGGCCTGTGGGTTTCTCTGTGTGTTGGGGAAGGGGGTTGTGTGTGCGAGAGGGAAGCTGTTCTCCTTCCTAATGAACTTTTATCTCCTCAGTTCATTCTCATTTCCAAAGTTACTGTATTTATTATCAGAGCAATGCCCCCTCCCCCAAGAGCAATGAAGAGTAGGTCTAATGTTTTCCTTCTCGAAAGAGCAAAGACCAAAACAATCCAATAAAGAATCTCACTTTCCCCTAAAATATACATCCTCAAAGCAAACCCCAAAGCACCACCCGAGTCCCTACGCTGTCCGCAAACGCCCCCATACACCCGCCACGCCACACTGCGTGGGGAGGCGTCGGGGAGGGGGCGCGGAGCGCGGGCCGCGCGGCAGGGAGCCGGTGGGAGACCCGGCGGCGGCGACAGGGCGAGAGCGGAGCGCGGTGCCAGGGGGGTGGGGGCACCGGTGCCCGTCTGGGGAGGGAGCAGGCGGAGGGGGTAAGCTGCGATTACCAGCAGGAACCGGCAGCAGCTGTGAGTCCCGGCAGGGCTGGGCGGGGGGAGGGGAGCGGCGCCTAGGGTCGGCCCCCGGGGGTCGCGGGGTGGGCTGGAGAGGAGGTTGGCCCGCAGCTGGTCCAGGGTAGCGGGGAGGGGAAGGGTCCGGCGTCGGCCGTTCGCATTCCCCCTTTCCCCCCTCCTCCGCCGCTTCTCAGGCCACACCGCGTCCGGAGCCCCTTCCCCGGCCCCGGGAGGTGAACTAGGGGCCCGGGGCTCGGCGGCAGTGGGGGAGGGGGCTGCCTGGTCTCGGCCTCTGAGAGGGGAGGGGCGACAATTTCTGTCGGCCGAGCTAAAGGGGTTTAAAGGGCGGCTCTTAAAGGGGCCGCAGAAGGGGCCCGGGCCGAGGAGGCACCCCTTCCCCATCCGCCTGTCGTCGCGCTCGCGCGGGGCCGCTGGGCCAAAGGGAGAGAATGCAGAAAAAATAAACGCGGGTCGCGATCGCCCTAGCGGCAGAGCCCCAGCTCGTGGGGTTGGGCTCGAGGTGGCGGGCCGGGGGTCGGGGGTGTGGTGAGCGGAGCTGGGGGAGAGGGGATAGGCTTGGAGAGGAGAGGGTTAAAGGTGGGGCCAGCCCTACAAACACGCGCACACACTTCTTACTCAGACCCGGTCACACGCGTTTCCCTGGCACTTAATGCGGGGCGGTGTTGGGGCCTGGGCCCGAGTCCTCTCCACCCAAGGCTTTTGCTGCCGGGCTTTGGGAGGTCGCGGACCCCACTGCCGCAACTCACACCTCAGGAGCCCCCTCTCTTACGCGCACACATGCTCCGGCGCGCGCGCACACCTCGGACATTCCCATAGTGCCTCACGTGACACACGGCCCCGAACGTGCCCACCCTTCACACACGCTCACGCACGCGTGCACACACGCACACACGCACACACAAACACTCACGGCCTCCCGGTCACTTCCCCCTCCATCCGACCCCCGCCTGCATACCCGCTTAAGGCGCTCATTGACTATGACACACCTACACTCATTCACAGACACACACACTCCCCCCACACATGCCAGCCACAGACACACATTCATAAACAGGGCCAGGAGAAGTACACACGCACCCCCTCGCCTACTCTTTCGGGAGCCCTGAGTCATTCCTGCCCCCTCCCAGGGCTCCCCACTTCCCTGTGTGCTGGCACACAGGCCGGGCTTAGGAATTCTTTGTCTGCCCTCTTCACCTGAGCCTGGCGGCCCTCTCCCAGAGCCCCCTCCCCTTCTGTGTTCCCTCAGACACTCAGCCGAGGACTTCCTGTGGGTTCCAGGTCTGGGGTGAGGAGGGCCTGGAGGGTTGCCACAAACCCAGTGTGAGTTGGGGAGGCGCTTCCTTTTCCTGAACTCTGGGATCCTACAGGAGGAAGCTGGGAAGTTGGGCGGGGGCCCAGCAGAGGATGTGCTGACAGTGGTGGGGCTGACCCTCCCAGAAGCACTGGGCCTTCCTTAGGGAGGAGCCAGGGGTGCCGGAGGCCAGGCATGAGGAGCTTGTCAGAGAGGTATTTGGGGAAGTGAGGCTTGGGGTGGGGAGGGGGCTGAGGAGTCAGTCAAGGCAGGCCTCATCTGGGCCCCCTGTGCTGGGAAGGCAGCGCTCTCCTGTCCACAGGTCTCCCTGGGTTCCGGAAAGAGTCCTTCTCTGCTTCTGGCTTTGCTTACTTGTCCCTATTTGTCACCGCTCTCCCTGTCCCCCGCAAGTCTTACTTGCCTCTGGTCCCAACCCCTTCCCCAGGGCAGCAGAGAAGGGAAGATGGGGCTGGGAGGGAACTGTGAGACACAGGTTTCATCTCAGCTGGCCACAGAGCTCCTCAGGCCAGGACAAGGGGTGTTGGGACAAGCTCTGGGCCCCCCTCCCCACCGTTGCTCCTGCTCTCCCAGGAGGCCCAGGGCGGGCCGTGGCCCAGGCCCTTGCCATGGAGTCCATGTTTGAGGATGACATCAGCATCCTGACCCAGGAGGCCCTGGGGCCCAGTGAGGTGTGGCTGGATGCCCCTGGAGACCCCTCGCTGGGGGAGGACATGTGCTCTGCCTCCCACTTTGCCCTGATCACGGCCTATGGAGACATCAAGGAGAGGCTGGGGGGCCTGGAGAGGGAGAATGCCACCCTCCGCCGCCGCCTCAAAGTCTACGAGATTAAGGTCAGAACCTGGGGGTGATGGGGGTCTGACTGTGTGTTTGGCAGGGGAGGGGGCTGCTGGAGATCCAGCTTAGACTCCAGGGATCCGAAAGAGGGGTCTGGGGCACTCGAGGATCCCTCATGAGGGTTGTGGCTGCTCTGGATGGATGGGGACTCTGGAGAGCCCAGCACCAATCAGGAAGGGATCAGGAGGATTCCTCTTAGGAACACTAGACCTTAGATCTAAAAAGATCTGGTTTGTGGGAGACGCCTTCTGGGCCGTGGGAATCGGGATGAACAGATCCCACTGGAGCTGGGAGGGAGAGGCTAGAACTCTGAGTCAGGTTGTGGGATGGGGACAGAGCTAGGCTGAAGCTCTTCTGAGGGCCTACCTCATTTGCAGTACCCACTGATCAGTGACTTTGGGGAGGAGCATGGTTTCTCTCTATATGAAATCAAGGATGGTTCCCTGCTGGAGGTGGAGAAAGTCAGCTTGCAGCAACGGCTCAACCAGTTCCAGCATGAGGTGAGCCCTCCCTGAGTTTTTGCTCCAATCCACCTCTGATAATCCCCAACCCCAGCCTCTGGCCTTCCATTTCTTTGATCAGAGATGGCCATGGCCCTCCATAGTACCAGCTTCAACTCCGCCTGCCCCTCCATGGGTGCTGGCAGTGGGGGTGGGAGGCACAGGGTGCTGCTCTGTCCCCAAGTCAAGTTAGGCCTGACTGTGGCTGCCCTCCCCTCTCTGGGCCTCATCCAGTTGCAGAAAAACAAGGAGCAGGAAGAACAGCTTGGGGAGATGATCCAGGCTTATGAGAAGCTCTGCGTGGAGAAGAGTGACCTGGAGACGGAACTGGGAGAGATGGTAAGGTCTAGGGAGCCTGGGTGCTTGAGGGTGTGACCTTGGCTGTGTGCTTGTGGTACGCACTCCGCGTGTTCATGTCTGTCTGTGAGTGTCCACGTCTGGTGAGTGGGGTTGTGTGTGTCATACAAGTTGTGAGCAACTCTGTGTACATCCTGACTCTGCAGTGACAGAAGATGACTATGTGAGTGGCCCTGTAGAACACTGTGAGTCTGTGTGTATGTTTAGGTCTCATGCTGGGTTGACCCTATGCCTATAGCACTGTGCTGGAAGGCTGTATGGGTGGGGGCAGAGGGGACTGGAAGTGTTTGTGATTGCTGGGATGGGCCTTGGCCTGTGTGTGATTCTAAGTCACGGTATGGCCATGCTGGTCAGCAGATGGGCAGGTGTCAATCAGGAGATCTGGTCTCTGACTGGCTCCTAGCTGGGTCAAGTCATTTAGCTTCTGTCCTGCCTCTGAGAAGTGGGGCAAATAATAACAACCTTGCTGAGCTGTTACGGGACATTCATGTAAAAATGCCTTGACTTAATCGCAAACACTTACATGGCACTTACCTGTGTGCCAGGCATAATTCTTATCTCTTCAGGTATATTTACTGATTTTAATCCTTGTAACAAACTGACCTCAGAGGTAGGTGTGGTTAGCCCCATATTACAGATGAGGTACACAAAGCCCAGAGTAGTTACATCACACATACAAATGGAAGCTTTTATGCTCTTGAGGGGGTGGCCGTGTTTGGATAGGGGGATGTTTTTAGAAGTGTTTCTGCGTGTTAGTGACAGGGAAGAAACATTAACTGTGACCTTGCAAGGGGCAGTAGCCAGAAACATCTGCATTGCAGTTGATGGGAGGGACCTTGTACTCATGGCCACTTGGAGAGTGGAGCTGGGATGTGTGACCTGGGGCCTTTGCTCAGTTTAGAGGGGTGATGGATACCCAGACATGGGGAAGTCCTGGGTTTAGGGAGCCCATTGGGGTGCCCTGGTCTGTTGCAGATCCTCATGCCCTTTTCTCCCTCTATAGCGGGCCCTGGTGGAGACCCACCTGCGGCAGATCTGTGGTTTGGAGCAGCAGCTGCGGCAGCAGCAAGGCCTCCGGGATGTAGACTTCCCCAGCCTGAGCCCCCCACCTGCCCCTGCCCCGCCCTGTGCTGATCTGGACCTTCACTACTTGGCTCTTAGAGGGGGATCCGGCTTGAGTCACGGTGAGATCTCGGTGACCCCTGATTTCTATACTCCGAAGTCCTCCCAGCCAGCCCCCCATTTCAACCCCATTGGACACTTCCAGGGTTTCAGATTGTTAGTCAGCACCCCAGTCAGTTCAGTTCAGTTACTCAGTTGTGTCCGACTCTTTGTGACACCATGGACTGCAGTACGCCAAGCTTCCCTGTTTTTCGCTATCTCCCAGAGCTTGCTCAAGACTCAGGTCCATAGAGTCAGTGATGCCGTCCAACCATCTCATCCTCTGTCGTCCTCTTCTCCTCCTGCCTTCAGTCTTTCCCAGCATCAGGCTCTTTTCTAATGAGTCAGCTCTTCGCATCAGGTGGCCAAAGTATTGGAGCTTTAGCTTCAGCATCAGTCCTTCCAATGAATATTCAGGACTGATTTCCTTTAAGATTGATCTCCTTGCCGTCCAAGGGACTCTCAAGAATCTTCTCCAACACCACAGTTGAAAAGCATCAGTTCTTCCGTGCTCAGCTCATACTGTCTTAAATTTCTCCGATAGTCACCTCATCCCTCCTTACCAACTGTCCTCTCACCTCACCACTATTACTCCAGATTCTCCCAACTGACATCCTGCCCTTAAATCCTTCCTTCACAGGCTCCTCCTGCAATTCCTATATATGCCAGCAGAGGGCGGCCCCACCCAGAGTCCCCCTGCTTGTCTTTGGTTGTGATTGGGAGAGGCCCCTAAGGATGCTTGCAGATGAGTCTGACCAGGGGAACTCTTCCAAAGCCGGTCTTATCTCTCCCCTGACCTCCAGGAAGGTTAGAAAAAGCAACTCAGCGCATCACTGCCCTCTGCTCTCAGCAGAGGTTTATCTGTCATCCTGGGGTGGCTGCCCTCTGGCTGTCTCTCCTGGAACCCTCACGCTGCAGTTCTCACCTGTTTCACTTTGTGTTGATCTGGGAGTGGGTGGAGGGTGCCCAGCAGCTGGTTCCAGCGTGACATTGTCCTTTCCTCTGCAGCAGGCTGGCCAGGCGCCACGCCGAGTATGAGTGAACTGGAGCGGCGGCGGCTGGAAGAGGCCCTGGAGGCTGCCCAGGGAGAGGCCCGAGGGGCTCAGCTTCGGGAGGAGCAGCTCCAGGCCGAGTGTGAGCGGCTGCAGGGGGAGCTGAAGCAGCTGCAGGAGACCCGGGCCCAGGTAAAAGCGGGGGCACCAACCCCAGGCCCCTGCTCTGGCACCTGTGGAGCGCTGGGAGCTGCTGGAAGGAACTCTTACAGAGATCAGGGGTTTCCTCACTGAGTACAGACCAGCCCCAGGAATAGTAAAGAAGGGAGGTCCCAGCCAGTGAGGTTGGGGTCTGACTGTTCCATCTTTCCCTTAGGATCTAGCCTCCAACCAGTCGGAGCGGGACATGGCGTGGGTGAAAAGAGTTGGGGATGATCAGTAAGTCACTTTGTAATCCTCTTCCTCTTAACCTCTGCAACCCAGGGGGTGGCATTTTCCAGGTTCCCTCTTTGGTTCACTCCTCCCCCTCCACATTGTTTAGGGGCCCTGTCTTCCAAGCAGTCAGGGCTGTGTTTTGGGTTGCTTGTGTGGCTCTGCGTCCTTCACAGGGAACGAGGCAAGGTTCTGGCATGCTCAGGTTCTTGGAGGTTCCCTTTGGTTTCTCTGGCACCCGGGCCTGTGTCTTGTTGAGGTGTCGGGTTGGGAGAGACTTCCTCGGCAGCTTTGCTGCTGTGTTGCATCCTCTGGTGGGTTTGGGGTCTCTCTGGGACTCCTTTTCTATCCCAGTAACAAGGCCCAGCCAGTTGGGTTAACCAGATCCTCCCTGACAAGGAGGAAGGAGATGATGGTCCCTTTCAGGATTGTGGTACCTTGTCTCGACCTCAGGAGAGAGAAAGCAGAGACTTAGGAGAGGACAGACTTCCTTGAGTTCATGCAGCAGCAAGTCGGGAATGAGAACGTATTAGGCTGGGGTGTCCCTTGGGGATCCTGCCATTAAAGAGAACCAGCAGTAGGTGGGAAGGGTGCTGTGTCAGTGGGGCGCCTAGTCGTGGGGCAGCACTGGGCAGCCAGGGAGAGAGTGCACACAGCTTGGCAGCAGTGAGCCTGGTGCCTCTCACATCCGCACTCAAACTCACCCTCTCCCACTTTCTGAGAAATAGAGCACAAACCTCCTTCCGCCTAAGCCTTCCCCACACAAGATGAGGAGTGTAAGTAACGCAGACTCCATCCTTTCATTGGTGGGGAGGACTGAGGCCTGGAGAGGGCAGGAACCAAGCCTCCAGCACATACACACCCGGCTCCGGGACCCCCCGGGCCTCCTCACCCTCCTGCCTGCTTCTGGTCAGTCAGGGGTACCCTCACCTCCCCCTGCGCCCTGGGGTGAGGACCTGGGTGGAGCTGTGATAGCTGGGGAGTGAGAACCTAGTTTGTGGGACTAATGGGTGGGACTAGTCACTGTTAGGGGCCTCTGCAGAGAGGGTCCACCCTAGCTTGTGGCTGGGGCTCAGAGCCTGTCCTAGCCTGTATGCCCAGACCCGGAAAACACACATACACATACATGTTCTAGGATCCTAACTTGCCCCTAAAGTCACACCGTAGCTCCCTTTATGGCTCACTGAATCCACCTCCCTCCCAGAAGACCAGTAGAGAAGCCTCCCTCAAGAGGATGAACCCAGAGAGAGGGTTTTTGGTTTTGGCTGGAGTCTGAACAGCCAGGCTTCGAATCTCAGGGACCCCTCCTGGGATGCTGAGTGGCTCAGCTTTGCTGATTTCAATTCTCTGGCCCCAGGTTTCCCTCCCAGGCTCAGCAGTCCATCACTGCTGAGGGATGTGAGTGGAAGGTGATGTGGGGGAGGCCGAGAAGAGGTGGCATGTCCCCAGGGGCCGAGTGAGTGAGTGGGTAAAAGAGAACCCCTCCCACAGATGCCTCTGGAGGTCGTGCCATCCATGCCACTCTTCCTGGCCAGAACAGCCCCTTTTCCTCCCCCCTACAAGGTACCTATCCCCACCCTGTCTCTTAGCCAGAGGGAACTGGGCTCTGCTCCAGGCTGGTCCTACCAGAGGTGACCTCCAGCTCCTCCCCCGGGTCTCCATGGTTTGGACTCTGCATCACGGCCTCGCAGACTTCTGCTCCTGGAGCCAGCCAGGCCCTGCCTGCCCAGCTTCACACTTCCTTTCAGGCCAAGCATCTCTGGACAGCCCCAGTTTGGCAAGAGTTAATTCTCAGAGGAAGTCCTCACTCCCCCGGTAGTTTTATTTTCTTATAAGCTCAGCTCCTTTTGGTAATAAGCTGCTTCCCGAGTGCTCCCTCCCCTGTCCTCCCACCTGAGGAGGCCTCAGTCACCTGCTCTCAGCTCCTTTCCCCGCACCAGCCCCTCCCTTTCCTTCTACTTCTGCCTGACCCTTCAGGCGCGTGGGAATTTTACATGTGGGCCTTCCAGGAGAGGATAGCTGAGGTGGGCTATCCGCATGGAAGTGTGAAGGCAGAAGAGGGGGCCAGAGAGGTTCCTGAGTCCAGCCCATTTCTCGGTGGGAACTCATTGTATCCCGAGAGGTGCTCCCCCTTCTTGGCGTGGATGCCTCCAGGGTGGTCGTCACTTTTACCATGGGAGTCCTGGCTGTTCACATAGCCTTCCCCGTACCGCTGCTGCCTCTATTAATTCCCCTCTGTGAGGCCTCCCAGTGCTGAGGGGCCAGGCCTGGAGGCAGTCCCAGCCCCAGGGTTTCCAGGCTTCCCCATCCCAGCCCCTGGTTCACAAGCCCATCATCAGTGTTCCTCTGAAAATGGGCACCCAGACCAGACTGCCGCCCTCCAAATCTGACCTCGGGGCAAGATTTCCCAGCCGTGTGGTCAGTGCCCAGGGGAAGAGCCACTGAAGGTGACCCACCTTCAGTGACCAGGCTAAAGGCAGTCATGGAGGAAGAGATGGAAGTGGAGACCAAAAGGGTCCCAGCCAAGCGAGAGGTGCAGACCCATGGCCCCCCTCCTCTGGCCTACTCAGGGTCTCAAGTCCTGAGTGCGGCCTTCCTGAGGGTGTGGCTAGCACTGAGGGTGGAAGGGCTATTGTGGAGAGGGGGCTTCTAGAAGGGGCTCAGTGAGGGGACACAGGGTCAGTGAAGGAGGGGGCTCACCCATGAGGGGAGCACTGTGAGAAGATGGGGGTTCAGCACGAGTGATGAGGGGGAAAACTATAGGCCTTTTTTCCCAACATGGGGGGCTCAGTGTTGCAGCCTGGTGCTTTTCCGCCCACCACCCCCCCACTCCTCTCTCCGCCCACAAGCCTCTGCGTGGGCTGCGGTTAGTGGTAGGGGAGAAGTGTGAACTCTGAGAGAGAGAGGATGGAAACTCTGCACAGAGGTCAAGGGCAGTGTAGGGGGGTCAGGACGGAAGTCGGAGACCCCCGTGTACCCTGAGCTCAGCCTCATGCCCCAGAGCCAGCAGGCCCAGGGCCTCCCCCTTCACGCTTCTCACCCTCCCTACTTCCTTTCTTTCAAATTTCCTTCAGCCCGGACGCCCGGCCCACAGAACTGAAGCCCTGAGCACTTGCAGCCTCAGGGCTCCCCAAGGGTGGGGAGGGGTTCTGAAGTCGGGGGCCCACCACGCCCACCTGTGGTCTGAGGGGTTGGTGGGCTTTGAACCACCTCTGACCCTCTCCCTGCCAGGGAGGCAGAGAGCAGCTCTTACCCACGCTCACTCCCTCGATGAGGAACACCACATCCTCCCCTCATTCAAACCAAACTCATTGAGCTGGTATCTCCTTAAATGGATCAAAACTGGTTTCCCCTTTTCACCTCCCATCTCCTAGGCGTTTCCCCGAGTCCTCATTCCAGCAGACACAGTGTGAGGCAGTTTACCTATAAAACCTCATTTGAGTCTGACCAAAAACCATGTGACAGTGTTGTCCCCTGAGCAAATCAGGGTACAAAGAAGTAATCAGAGAAATTAAGTGCAAATACCAAGCAAGTCGTGAAACGATGGGGTAATAGCCCTTCTGTGTTTCTATGGTTTAAATTCTTGTCCAGGTAGGAGGTCCTTATACAAGGAGCAGCCCGATGATTTGCTGACTGATTGGTTTTGAAAGTGAAAGGAGGCCCTATTAATAATTCTGCCAGGTGACTCCTGTCAACCAGGACAGCCCTGGGCAAACTGGGATCTGTGGGCCCCCAGCCTGGAGGAGGACTCTGATTCCAACCCTGCTTTGAAACTTCTCCATTTAGCTGCATCTGGGGAGGCTTTCTAGACACAAAGACCATCTGGCTGAGCTGGAAGCGTGGCAGGGGCTGCCATGAAGAGCCGGGCTCTGTCGACCGCAAGTCATAGCTGGTCGAGGAGAGTGAAGGGGCTCAAGGCGCCTGAAAGGAAGTGGTAGATCGCTGGGTTGTTGCAAGCGACTTCCTCCTCCCCCCAGCCCGCAACCTCAAGTCCGCTCCACGGCCGGGTGCCTGTGGTCCCTCCCTGAGGGTCAGGCCGGGCGGGAAGACTAGTGCTGGGTGTGCCTGTGGGTAGTGGAAAGTTTGGTCCTTAAATGCCCCTGCAAGGGTGATGTGGCTGGGGGGCAGCGGGGGCAGCTATGGGCAAGGATGGGGGAGCTGGGAATGCTGGATTTCTGTTTTCCTCCTGATTCTGTCAGTCAGGGATTCTGACCACATGACCAGCTCTGATCCTGATCCCATCCCTGCCTGTAACCCCTATCCCTCATCCTGACCCCAACTTGGTCTCCAGTCCTGACCGAAGATGATCTCATCAGACCCTGACTCCAGCCTTAGTCCTGACCTCGAGCCTGTCCTTAGTTCTAATCCCATGACGCAGTGCTAGCCTGAATCTTAACCCTGCCACATCTGCACCCTCATGGAGGCTCCAGCGCATCACAGGGCACCCAGTGAACCAGGAAGACACTGCACTCAGAAGCCCGTGTGTATCCCAGCTGGTTTGGGGCAGAAAGAGGCCTTCTACAGAGGCAGATGCTTAGGTCTCTAACCTTTCTCATCTCTGTTGCTTTATCAATAACAGTGAAGATGATTGTTTCCACATGAGTTGTTGAACTCCCTGAATTATTCGTGGAAAGAAAGAATGAAAGGATAAGTCAACAGAGGGTGGAATGATGTACAGGGACTGGGAGCTCTCTTTCCTGCCAGCACTGCCGTTTGTACTCTGGCTTCTCCAGAGGTGCCAGCTCAGCAGGCTGAGGTGCCAAGAGCCTGTTTGAGTCCCTGCTTTGTGCCACTATTGCTCTGTGACCTTGAGCTGGCCTCTTAACATAAACTCTGTCCTTCCACTTCCACACGTGTCGAGCATCTTCCTCTCCCCTCCCCAGGTAGGGCTGGTGATGCTCAGGGATCCCAGGCCACTTTGGAGGTCCCCAGCCTCTTTCTCCTCCTCTAAGCCTTCTGTTGCCTTCCCACCTATCCTTTCCCCCTTCCCTGATCCTTTTGGAAGGCAGTTGATAGCTGAGTAGTGAGTAGCCTCGACTTCAGTGTCCAGGAGACCAGAGCTCCCATTCTAGCAACTCCACTATTACTAGGCTTTATGACTTTGATCAACTGACTTAACCTCTGTAAGCTTCGGTTTTCTCATCTGTAACATGGAGGTAACAAGCCGGCCAACACTGCAGGGTTGTCCTGAAGACTAAGTTCTTAGCACAATGCCTGGCCTCTGATAAGGGCTTATACAGATTATGATTCTTTTCTGGGTGCTTCCCAAGTTCTGAGAGACTCAGATGGAACTTGTCCCCCATAATTTAAGCAATGAGGAAGCACCCAGATGCAGGCATCTGCTGCCGTTCACCTGACCCAACCTTCCCAAACAGCCGTGATGGTGGAAAATAGCACTCAGGTGTGGGCCAGGAAGCGGAATGTGTATTCAGGTGCACGCATGCGACTCTTAGCTGTGTTGTGAAGTTGAGATTTTTTTTCCACTGAATTGGCAATGTTTTCTAACGTGAGTCATTCAGGTCGTTAGTGTATTTAGCAGCCCAGGCCTGTGCATCTTGAGGTGGGTAGTCACCTAATGTAGGAGGGAGGTCTCACAGTGCCTTGGAGCATCAGGTCTGGTCCCCCTAACCTTGCCCAGGGTCTCAGAGGCAGTTTTGAGGGCTGCCTGGAGCTCCTGGAGGACACGGCAGGTGGGCGCAGAGCTGGAAGTGGGGCTGGGCATCCTGGGCTAGGTCCTTCTCCCTTCCATTTCCTGCTGCCTTGTCCATTTTGCTGCGAGGAGGGTGCCAGGAACTCGGTGCTGGAAAGTGGGGTAGCTCCTGACAAGGGGAGGAAGGCAGGCAGAGGAGAGATGGGGCCTGGCAACTGAGTGTGGCAGGTGAGATCTCTGAGGCAGGGTGTGAAGGCGACGACCTGTATCTGTCACCTGAGATAGGCAGTGAAAGCAGATGCGGAGAGAAACTGGCTGCTCGGTCAGAGGGGATGTTCCATCTGTGCCCTGCCCAGAGCCCCCTCCTGCCCTCACCACTGGGGGGGTAGCATGATTGTCCGGAAGGCCCCCAGTCTGAGGGAGGAGGTGCAGCTCTGGCCCTCAGATCCCCTTGGTTTGAAGTGGGGAGCCTTCCACTGGAAAGTCCCCAATTTACTATGGGCCATAGACTGGACCTCTCAGTCTGATGAGGGTGATGCCGTTCCTTCCCATAGACCCATGCTAGAGGAGGAGGGTGGGGGACATAGGACACCCGAGGGCTGAGATAAGATGGGATGGAGGCTGCAGCACCTTGGCAAAGGCTCCCCAAAGGACTCCTTCCCTCTGTTCCTGTCCACCATCAGACTGATAGAGGGCACTCTCCCTCCCTCAGAAGTGGGGTTGTTCCCCAGAATCGCAGCCTGTTTGTAATAACTTGGCTTTGGCCCAGATGGGTTAAAAATAGTTTTGTTGTGGGAGGGGCTCCCTCGCCACCCAGCTCTGCCCCAGGATTAATGAGAGAACAAGGCGAGAGCGAGGGAGTTCAGTCACCATCTACCCGCTGCACCTCGGCTTTTCCTGCCCTCTGAAGCCCCAACCTCATGACTTCCCGTCCTCTTCTCCGGGGTTGGTCAGACACACACACACACTCTGTTCCTCACTCATCACACACACACACACACACACACTGTTCCTTACTCATCACACACACACACACTCTGTTCCTCACTCATCACACTGGCCTCACACCTCCCTTTGCTCTCTCCCGTTCACATGGATCCTCTCTTACATGTCCCATTACCATGAGATGAGAGCAGGGCCCCATCCTTGCCTCCCAGCTACTGGGGCAACCCCCCCCCCACCGCCTCCCCAAGAAAAAATCCCTCTGGAGTGGCCAAGCCTCTGCCTGCCATTTCCCCTCCAGCTCCAACTTCCACAAAGTTCCAGAGTCCCATCTGGATTGGGTGAGGGGAAACGATCTGGGGAAACAATATCCCCTGCCTCCCCGGCTCTGTCCAGGCCCAGATCAGAGATGAAAGTGGTGACCCAAGGCCATGGCAGAGTCTCCTGTGATGTCAGGACGGGCTCCCTGGAGGTGTGCAGGCTGGGGTGGGAAAGAGAGGAGGGGCAATGCTGAGAATGGTAACTTTCCTTCAGCGATTCTGGGTCAAAGGGACCCAAAGAGAAAGGGAGAGAAAAGGAAGTGGTTGAAGTCTTTGCTGAGTCTGTTCCAGCTCCATGAGGGTGGGTGCCCTGGAGGCCTGCACAGGAAGTGGGAGGAAAAAAAGGGAAGAAGAGGGACTTCCCTGGTGGTCCAGTGGTTAAGATTCTACACTTCCACAGTAAGAGGCACAGGTTCAATTCTTGGCCAGGGAACTAAGATCTTGCATGCTGCATGGCCTGGCAAAAAAGAAAAGAACTAAGGGAACAAAAAAGAAAAATGGTAAGAGAGGCTCAATTCAATATTGACTTACTGAACAGCTACTGGGTACCAGATCCTGGACAAGATGCTGGGAATACGAACAGAGTGATGATAATCTCTACGTTTGAGGAACTCCCAGTGAAGTTCCAGAATAAGGCAACTTTTGTTAGGTGCTTAACATGAGTGGTGCCCCCTGGAGGTGTGCCAGGCACAATAGCTGTTCACAGAGATCTCCAGGTAAAGGGCTCCCTGGTGGTCCTGGGAGTTGCAAGGCTGAAAGGAGCAAAGCAGTGGACCTAGGCATACTTGGGTTCAAGTGTATCAGTTGGCACCTCTGCCAAGCCAGGAGGCCATGTCTTCACTTACAGAATGGGGCTGTTAGTAGTCTGTGCAACAGCAGTCTCTAATCTTCCAAAGGGGAGAACTCCTCTGGCCCCCCGCCCCCATACGCAGATTGTACTTCACTATTAGTATGAATACTTTGAGAAAACTCACAGCAACAAAAGCTACTATAAATTCAGTGCAGCTTTTTGATGAATCTGTTTTGTCACCACAGTTTCTGCACAGATTAGAAACACATTCACACATACCTGTATGAGATGTGTTCAGGCCACAGACAGTGCTCAGTGAATACACAGATTCAGGGAGCCCTTGAAACCACTGAGGGCTCCAGCCCCCGCCCATAGTCTGGGAACCACTGCCCTAGCCCCAGGTAAGGTGTAGGGAACCCCTTGGAAGAGGTTCCCCTTTGAGGTGGCCCTTAATGCCCAAGAGAATTTCTGCAGCGGGGGTAGGAGGGTCTGGGAGGGGAGGGCCAGATGCCAGGGCAGAGGCCGTTCTTCCTCCACAGCTGTGACAGTAAACCCACTTCCCTTCTCCTCACTCTCTGCCCTCTGACCTGAGGGTCGGGGCAGGCTGCGGTCAAGCCTTGACCCGGGTGACTGGGTATCCTTCAGGGTGAACTTGGCGCTGGCTTACACGGAGCTGACAGAGGAGCTTGGCCGGCTTCGGGAGCTGAGTTCCCTGCAGGGGAGGATCCTGAGGACGCTGCTGCAGGAGCAGGCCAGGAGTGGCGGTGAGAGGACCCAGAGGGCGGAGGGCAGCCGTGGCCACTCTCCACTTCCTTCCCCGGTGTCCCGGCCTGTTCCACTTGGGAGGAGAGTGGGTGGGCACTGGTCCCTGGCAAGGCCCGGGCTCCCCAGTCCTGACGTCCTCTCTCTCCATCACTCTCACCTGACCTGTTCTGCTTCTCTTCTAGGCCAGAGGCACTCGCCGCTGTCGCAGCGCCACTCCCCGGCCCCCCAGTGCCCCTCGCACTCCCAGGAGAGGACGCTGGCCGAGCGAGGCTACGCCAAGCCGCCCAGCCACCACGTGAAGGCCGGCTTCCAGGGCCGGCGCAGCTACTCAGAGATGGCGGAGGGCGCGGGCTACGCGGGCGCCTCCCCGGCCTGGCTGCAGGCCGAGGCGGCCACGCTGCCCAAGCCGCGGGCCTACGGCGGCGAGCTCTACGGCCCCGGCCGGCCCCTCAGTCCGCGGCGCGCCTTCGAGGGCATCCGCCTGCGCTTCGAGAAGCAGCCGTCGGAGGAGGAGGAGTGGGCCGTGCCCGCCAGTCCGCCCAGTCCGGAGGCCGGCGCCATCCGCTGCGCCTCGTTCTGCGCGGGCTTCCCGGTCCCCGAGTCGCCCGCCGCCACCGCCTACGCCCACGCCGAGCACGCGCAGTCCTGGCCGTCCATTAACGTGAGTGCGCTCTGGCAGGTAGACCTGGGAGCCCCGCCCTCGGCTTCGCACCTGGTTGGTGGGCGGGGCCCCCTTCCTTTGACTCCGCGCTCCTCCCCCGGACCGCGCGTCCCCGCTCTCCAGTGGCGTTTTGTTGGCTTGAACTGGGGCCTGGGGCCGCACTCTAAAACTTGTTCAGCTTCATGGTTAAAGACCCAGTCTTCAGAGTGACAGTCCTGGCTTTGATTCTGGACTTCAACACTTAATAGCTTTGGGACCTCGGCAACTTCTTTTCCTTCTTCGGCCCTCAGTTTTCTCATCTGGAAAAATGAGGACAATGATTTATTATCTGGTTCCATTAGAAAATTTTAAAGAGGGAGGCAGGGAACCTAAAGCACTCTGCACAGTGCCTTGCTCAGTAGTAAACATCTGCTATTAATTGGTGATGAAGGCCATGCTGACACTGGTCTTGGGTCCCAACAGGGACAGCCCTGCTCATTCAGTTCTGTTCATCAGGCCTCAGAGCCCCTGCCCTTTAAATGTCTGTCCTAGAAGACAACCGTTTCTCAGGGCTGTGTCGTTTCACAGAAATAGTGAGTTTCCTGAATGTCAGAGCCAACCCTTGCCACCTGGAAGGACCAAAATACATTCCAAAGTCAGACAGAAAATTATTTCGGGGCTGTACATTGTTAGGGTTATCCGTTGCTCTGAGTTATCAGGGAGCTGTGTCTGAGTCACTCTGAGGGCATGTCTGGGTCTTGGCTCCCCTCATTACTGCAGATATCCTGGCAGGCTGAGCATACCTACCTCCCCGTTCAGCACTACCTGGGGACACCATGCCCAGGATTGGGAGAGTGGGTGCTGAACTGGTGCAAAGTGGTTAGGGAGGGGGAGGAAGGGGGTGATGTAGGATAAGAAGTGCCCAGATGCCTTCTCATGCTGCAGTGCTCCCTGCCTTGAGACCTAGGAAAGGGCAAGCTGGGATGTGCGGACTGTGAAGGACGGATGTGGACCGCAAACAACTCCTTTCTTTCCCCACAGCTGCTGATGGAGACAGTGGGCTCTGATATCCGCAGTTGCCCCCTCTGCCAGCTGGGTTTCCCAATCGGGTACCCAGATGATGCCCTCATCAAACACATTGACTCCCACCTGGAGAACAGCAAGATCTAGGGTGCCTCCCCCCACCCACTGGCAGTTTCTCCACCTTCTCCCATCACCCCCAAACACACTCACTTTGAATGCTGCATGAATCTCGTAGGGGGCCCCTGCCCCTTGCGACCCCCAGATACCTCCACTAGCTACTGAGTCAACGTGTGTGCCGTCTCCCCTGGTCCAGGCACCACTCAGCCCTGGCTCTTCCCGGGAGGTCAGCCGAGGCTCTCCCCAGCTCCCTGGCTTCTGCTGGGGAGGTGGGATGGGCTGGGATGGGGAGGGGCAGATCCTACCCAGCCTCTCCTTCTGCCTTTCTGTTCTCAAACAGTTGGATCCAAGAAGGTGTCTAGTGCTTGGGCCTGGGGGAGGGGAGGGTATCAGAAGACTCCAGAAGCTCCCCCAGCCTCTACCCAGATGGCCAGCTTTCTCAGGCTGTGCTCTGTCCAGGGAGTGCCTCCCTGTAGAGTCCCAGAGCCTGCCCTGCACACTGATGCCAGTTCCTCTGTCCCCTGGCCAGGTTGGAGCTCATGGCATGGGCCCCCCCCTCCACTGGGGGAAGGAGGCATCTTGTTTCTTGCCATTCCCTGTAGGCCAGCCCTGTTTTCCCCCTCAGCCCACCCTGGGGAATAGGGAGGGTGGGAGAGGAGAGGGAGGACCCTGAAAGATTGGGAGCATCTGGCCCCAAGAGGCTGTGCTGAGGCACCACGACCCTCAGGCCAGGGAACCATCTGTGTCTGCCTCCCAGGCCCATGCCCTTCTTCTGGAGCCCCCCGCGTCAAGGTGCAAGTTGTTAAGGCAGATGCGCGCCCCCCCCCACCTGACCCCACTCAAGCCCCGACACCACAGGTGCCCTGGAGCCCAGGTGTGACTCAGCCTCCGTTAGCTGGGTGGATGTCATCAGCCCAGCCTCCCAGGCCAGAACCTGAGGATGGGCCCAGGGTGCTGTGGAGATCAAAAGAGCTAACCCCCTTCCCACACCCCAGCGACCCACATTCCCTCTGTGAAATCTACCTCAGAGTCGTACCCTCAGAAGGACGGGTAAGCAGGAGGCCAGGGGGTCCCCAGGGCTGAGGTGGGGAGCTTCCCAGGCAAGCGTCTGCTGCCCCACGATGAGTCCACTATCCTCCACTGCAAGCCTCTCCCGCGTCTCAGCCGGGGCGGGGGCAGTGGGCGCTGCGGTCAGTGCATGTACCATTCTGATCCAACTCTCCCAGGCCCCCCACCTCCCACACCCTTCCCCTCCTCCTCAGCGCAGGGGAGGGAGGGGGTGTGTCGGGGTGGGGGGCAAGGGGCCGAGGACTGCAGGGACACATGGCATTGTACCTTGAGTGTCCCCCTAGGGAGGGGAAACAGGGAAGGGGGACTGGAAAGGGGAGGTGGGGCCCCTGAGCTCTCTGAACAAGTTGAAAGTCCAAATAAAACTTAACCTGTTCCATCTGCGCTCCGTCTGTGCTCTCTGTGGCTGGGGGAGGGAGGGAACCCTTCCAGGCGGAAGGTCTTGGAAACTGTCTCAAGTAACCACAACCACGGGAGGGCAAGTAGGGGATGCTTAGGGCCGCCGTGTTCCCAGGTGGTTCTAGAGACGCAGGCATGCGAGTGGCTACAGGTGACTTGTGATGTGGACTTTATTTGGAACAGATGGGGAGCAGCAGAGGGTGTCTTCGTGACCAGCCCTGAGCAGGTGTCAGGGACTCATGAATTTTCCCTCCCAGCAGGTCTGGCAGGTAGAGGTTCTGTAGCCTGAGGATTCGTTTACCCGTAGCACTATGTTTTTTTTCATCAAATGATTTCTCATGCCAAGAACCAGACTGGAGCCTCAAAAAGGAAGGAACATTTATTTGGGTTCCATGTCCTTGTGGATCAGAGAGCAGGGAGCGGCTCAGCGGCTGCCTTGAAAAGTGCCATAGCCTGGGAGGTCAGAGCCAGGTCATGAACCCGTGACTTCTGCCCCAGCTTGGGCTATGCCTGACCTACTTACTCATCAAATCTCTGTGCCTTTCATTTCCATGTGACACTCTTTGGCCAAGGATTCACTTGAAAGCAAAAGGCAGGAGCCATTGCTCACAGAAGACCCAAGGTCCAGCTCCAGACCTGGGGTTTATATCCTTCCCTGTTCAGTGCCAAGGTGCAGCCCCCACAGGGAGACTTCCCTGCTCCTCTGTTGCAGTTGACAACTGTAGCTGCTAAAAGCTTATCCAACCTTGATTTCATCTGCAGCCAAGTCCTGAGTGCCAGGGAAGGCAAGAACAGACATCTCCATGGGACATAGCTTCTTACAAGCCCTGGGAGAGAGGGCTCTGGAATCTCCGGCACAGGAGTTCCCCTGGTGTTCTCCCACTCCATGGAAGAGGTTTTCTTTCTGCCATGGATGAAGGCAGCACCCAGGTGTCTGGGTTTTGTTTGGATCCCTGGAAGCATTTGCTAGAAGGACATGAGAAAATTAGGGTTGGTAAAAAGACACAAAGCAAAAAGAAATCCCAGCCGTTGATAAGAAGGGCAAAGGATGACCCGGAATTGAGCTGTGTGGGGGCATGACTTGTGTAACCTCACCTTGCCCTTGGGTATATGTCTGAAGGCGTGAGGAAACCCAGCTACCCTCAACCTGGACACTCCTGTCATGGGGGGAGGGGAGTATGGCAACGTCAGGTGCAGATTCCAGCAACATGTCTCCTCGATCTCTGGGGACGTGGGAAAGGGCTCAGATGCAGGACAGGAAGCTGCTTGGGGCTGGAAGGAAAGGGGAAGAAGGAAGAAAAAGCTAGTGCTTCCCCAGCCCAGTTCCTCTGGACCTGCAGCCTTTAACTTAATGCCTGCCCAAAGGAGAGGACCAGGGGGTGGGGAGCCCTGCCAATACTCATCCTTCTCTTCCCAACAGGATTCTGGGCTGTGATCAGACGTGAGGACGCTCGTTACTCTATGGGAGTAATTCAGGGACGCCAGGGCCTGAGAGAGTGGGAGGCAGAGGGGTCTGGATCTCTGGGCCTCTGAAGAGGTGAGGAGGGTGGGACTGCTTGCACAGGAGCAAAGCGGGGGAAGACCCTGTGGAGGCTGGAGATGACACCTGGGAACCCACTCACTTTCACCAGCACAGACAGATGCGGAGCTGGACTTGGGGAGGAGGGGGGTCAGTGGTGGGGAGGAGTCACAGACTCCAAGCCATCCGTGGCCTCACCTCCAAGTACCTGAGGAAAGGCCGACACCCAACATCCCAGCTCCGGCCCCACTGCCCTCTGTCTCTCCTTCATCCACCAGCTGCCCTGTGGGCCTCCCTGCCTCATCTTTGATTTCCTCAGCCAGAGCTACCAGCCTACAGCCACCCCACCCCTCTCCTGGGTCCCTGTAGAAGCTGTGCCAGGCGATCAGCTGAGAAATTAAGAGCTTCTATCAGAAGCTGCTGCTGTTGGTGGTGTGTGTGCGCGAGGCGGGGGCTGGAGGGGCTGGGGGGTGGGAAGCTGATCGCTAGCAAATGGGAGGGGTGTGTGGGTGAGTCAGCCGTGTTAATGAGAAACACCACACCCCGCTGATTAGGGCTAATGAGGAAGAACAGAGGGGGGTGGGGGTTTCAGTCAGTGATATCTTGACAGGGTTGCTTGCTCCCCGAGTCCCATCTCTCCCTTCGTCAGGGCAAAGAACAGAGCCACTTTGGCTACTGCAGGAAGAATGGAGGTTAGACGCAGAAATGAACCGCCCGGGGCGAGGCGGTCCTCACTGAGAAGGGGTTGAACCAAGAGTCTGGGCAGAGACCGCATTCAGGGGAACCGTGAGAGATCCAGTAGGCTCCTGTTCCTGCCTGTCCTCTAATCTCTCTGTTGATTCACTCGAGAGAAATTTCTGGCACTCAGAACTGTACCTCCCGGTTGCTTCAGTGCCCTTTGAAATCTAATGGACCTCTGCAGAGGGCCCTGATTAAGGGGGTGCTGCAGACAGGGCTCCGGGCTGTGCCCTTCCTATTGGCAGCCTGGTTTGAGGCATTGACTGTCTATGCGGATGTTAATAACCCAGGGGGCCTGGCAGGGCTGAGGGAGGGAGGGCTTGGGGCAGGGGAAGGCCTGTGGACATCTGCTGAAGGCCCTCGTGGTAGCTGCCCTGTCCTTGCGGCAGAGGCAGAGGCCCCCAGAACCCGCAGCGTCACCCTGCCCCTCCATGCCGACTCAGCTGAGGGCAAAGGCCCCAGGCGCGCCCGGCCTATGTTCCAATCCGCTGTGAGTGCAGGCCTAGGGGAAGGGAGGGCAGGGGAGGGCTGGGAGGGGGACAGGATGGGTGTCGGCCAGCACCTCCAACACCTCCTCATTTGCATTACCACTGACACCCTTCTTGACCAAGAAAATGGAGCCAGAAATAACAAGGGGGAAGGTGATTCCCTGGGGGGGCCTTTGAGGTTCTTTTTCCTTGCTCCAACACTCCCAGTGCTGAGGGCAAGAGGGCAGCCACCCCCACCATCACTCGCCGGCCCCTGGTGGGGAAATGGACCTATATTTGCTGCTCCCTCCCCAGGTTGGGCAGTCAGCCCATCCCAGCCCCCCACCTCCCTTGGCCCCAAGCACCCCAGCCTGGCCCCTTTCTTGGGAGCCTACACCACCTCCCTTCCTCCTTCTGGGAACCCTCTCCCTGGAGCCCCTCACACAGCTGTGCTGACCCCAGCTCTGCCCAACTGCGTTGTTCTCTTCAGTTCGTCCTGCCTCCCCCCTCAGACTAGGCGTTTCCCAGGGCAGGGCCCAGACATCCCCGCCAACCTCCAGCCTCGAGAGAACATTCTGCCTGAGAAGTAATCCCAACACTAGCAGGGGAGCTTGTGAGTGGATTCTAGAAATGGTGAGAGGTAGACCAGAGGTGCGACCCTGGCCTTAGGGTCATGAGGTGGGAGGCAGCGGGCACTCCCAACTCCATTGGAAGAGGCCTCTGTCCACCTTCACTTGGAGCTATTGCCAACTGTCAGCTCTCTGTCCTCTGTGATCCTTGGAGAAAAGGGCCAGGACTGTTCATTTTGACTGACTTCTCCACTGCCCCAGGGACTACTACCCAGACCCCCACCAACACATTTGGTGCTCAGTTTACATGCATTGGATTTACTTCTGTCCCGAATAGGGCAGGGAACGATTTGACGATGTGGCAGGTGGGAGATGGTGAACGTGATGGGCCAAGTAGAGGGAGATGGGACCCTCCGCCAGAGGGTCCTGGGACCTGGAAGAGCCCACGGTGAGGGTGGAAGCAGAACAGAAGGGCCTGGCAGGGAAACCAGGTCGCGAGAGACAGCCGTAAGAGCTGTGAACACACTGCGAGAAGGAGTGAAGGATGAGCTGAGAACTACCCCCACTCCCCCTCCAGAGATGCTATTTTGGAGGGAGAGAATATATGCAGTGCAGGGGGCAGGAGGGGGAGTATGCCAGCTTCCACAGGGGTCAGCGGGACCACCCGCTGCCTGCACTCTCCCCTCTCCCGGCCAGGGCCAGCTGTCTTCACTGGCCTTGGAACCCCTTTCCCGCTCCCATCCCCACCCAGGACTTCCCTCCCCACTGGGAAATAGTGCTCCTTTGAGCACAGGAGGAGAAAGAAGGAGCCTGAAGATTTGCAGCTGGCTTCTTGGCACCCGTCTGAGGGTCCCCTGGGTCCTCAGACCTAGGGAGATGCTTCTATTTCCATGCCTGCCTTGGAATGAAAACATGGTGGGTACAGTGGAACATAGGGTGGGGCAGGCACTGCAGACTGCTCAGGGGGCCTGCACACTTCTTGCCTCCAGCTCCGTACTTAGGAACTCAGCTTGGATCCCCCTCTAGCATCAAACAGGGAGTGAATCTGGTGTTAAAAGAGACCAGGGCAGAGGCCCCTTCCAGGGCCAGCTGGGTTCACCCACAAGAGGCCCAGCCCCTCTGGGTGGAAGCCCGTATCTTGCCCCTTTGGACCAAGGAGGCTGGACAGGGGTCGGTGTCAAGTAGAGCCTTGCTTGGCATGAAGGGAAATTCCTGTGCCCCAGATCAACCTCTCTGAGGGGCCCTGACTCATTTTGGGATGAAGGCTCCAATGCCCTGCGGGTTTCTGTGGCGGCAGGGTGTGTAGAGAGCTCTGGGGACAAGGGGAGACTTTTGTTTTCGTTTTTGGAGCTTGACTTTTTTACTGCCTGAGAGCGCAGCTTCAGCTAAAGAAGCAAGATTGGCTAAGAGGGGAAGATGCTGGGCACGGCCACAGCAGAAGGACCGTTAAGTTAGACTTTAGGAAGAACTTCCTATGAAGACACTGGGGCACATTTCCTAGAGGAACCGAGGGAACCAGTTCCCTGAATGTTTTCCACAGTGAATCCCTCGCTGCCTTGGAGGCTGGGCCAGCATCGAGGCAGTACAGGCCGGAGGCAGATAGAAGAGTGGAATGACCCACAGCCAGGGCGGGGACTGAAGGCTCCAAGGAGGAAGGATGAGTGAGGGTTCAGGCATCAGAAGACATATG